TCCTCAAACTTTACAAAGCGGGCCAAGATAGAAGGCAACTGGCCTGGCATATCTCTGATTTTCAGAACCGATAACCAGGCTGCAATGATGCTTTAGCCGCATTGGTTCCTTCGCTGAACGGACTAGTACCTGATGCATTTAAACCATGACCAGGTCCTGTTTCACACGCTTAAATATCCCGAAAAGCGTTTTTCATGTACTGTTCTGGAACTACTCTCTGATAGTCGAAGACTCCGGATACGTGAGAAGACATGCACAGATCACTGCTGCACTGACGTCTTGATGCAATGGCTGTCCCCGTTGTTAGGGAACTTTTACATTTGTCGATGAACATTTTACTTAATCCGATATGGGCCAGAGTCAGCCACACACCAGCCGTGGTAACGAATCGGAGGTCCGAGTAGCGCACGTTAGACAATAGTCAGACTGAGCACAGCTCGGGCGAACCGCTAACTGGTGTCGTGAACTTGATGTATAGTTGCCCTTTTAAACAAAGGCATTCACGCTGCGTCGACCACTAGTTCAGTCCAGTCGCAAATTGGCTGGAAGGCTCGAAGTGTCGACTGATGCGCGATAGATGTATGCGATGCAGAAGTCAGCCTCGTGGCACTTGAGTGCAATCCCCATTTTAATAAATCTCGAAAACGCAAGACTATGCTTGCATGTTGAGTGACGTGGCCGTGACGGCTGACTTTTTGCACCGTTTTAGTGCGCTCACCATGACACTCTCATGCAGGTGTGATCCGAAGAGCTCCAAAGTACGCCTAGTACATGGCTTGGGGGCGGGGTCGCGTGCGGGGGGCGTAGAGAAGTCAGTCAACTTCGTCAGCCACTAAGCTCCCGACCGCCCTGAATCTGTCTTGCCACCGGACTCATGTAGATGAGAGAGAAAATGGTGCGCTAGAAGCTGGACGCGCGTTGTGACGCACGCGGGGAAAACAATCGCCAGCCATGGGCAAACCCTCACGTGGGTTCAAGGGTTTTCCATAGGTCAAAGGTTTGTGTATAGCACAAGCACCATCCAGGTGCCCGGACAATATCATTTATTGTTTTTTTCTAACTGAATAAATAGGACGCCCCAGAGCAGAACTGACAAACCTCTCGATACCAACTGACTACTAAGTGTCAGCCCGTCAAAATCCACCTGCTGCCCCTAAGATCTCCGCAGCATATGCCATAGGTTGGGCGAGATTAATGATTAAAAGGAAATCCTTCAGGGTATGTAAAAATTTGAAAGAGATGAGTATCGAAACACAACCAACCGCCCGAGCATAGCTGGCAATATCTTTCTTTTAAGTAACACTGCAGTCAATTTTACGTGAGAGAGAAAATGGAAATTTAGATACGCGCTGTGGAAAGTGTCGTCGTGGCATATGGGCGCAATCCTCAATACAATAAATTTATAGAGACTTTTGCGATCATAAGGCGTTAAAAGCCGTGACTCGAAAATCTGAGTACTAGCGCTAATGATTTACTTTTAGTGTGGTTTTCGTAACATTTTCATGCCTGTCGGATCCGTGCCGCCCGACTGCAGGTCTAGTACATATCTTACTGACTCGGTCAAGTGTAAAACGCGAGTCAAAGAGCCCTCGAAAACATCGACTCTGTCTTGACACCAGCCCCAGGTTGATTGGGAAAAAGAGGTGCATTAGGTGCTTGGCTAGGGGAACGGTTGTTAAAAATGGTCATCTCTCACGTAGATGCAATTGTCTTCCCCACATCAGACGCTTTTCTGCAGCACACACACACACACGACATTTTGACTGAGAAATTGTCCGTTATTGTTTTTCCAGTTAAACAAGTCAGATGACTTATTGTGGAATTATTATCCCCTCTGATATTAACCGACTACAGAGTGTCATCCTGTCAAAACTCACTTCATGCCTTCATACCATTCACAGCATACGCCATAGGCTGGACGAAATCGGTCCTTTAAACGAACCCTTCCAGAGCATTTAAAAATTTGATGATGATAAGTGTCGAAATTTAACGAACCGCCTGAATATAACTGACTTTACCTTTCTTTTGAATAATACTGCGGTCCACTTTACGTCTCCAAGAGAGTATTTATCTGGGTACTACAAACCGCTTATAATCAGCATCTTTCATTTCACTTTTTTCCTCTCAGTTAACCGCATTTCGTGTACTGTTGTATCTGCAGAATTTAAACAAAAACGGTTACTTCTTTAGTCAGTATCAGTCAGTATATTTGGAGTGAACGGCAGAAGCCCTGAAAACTCAATTCAGAGGGTAAAATGTAAGGGAAAATAGTTAAAATGCAAAACTTTTGCTTGCAGTTTTAGTACGGAGAATTCATAAATCTAATAATGTATCAGAAAGACGAAAGGGGTATGGTATTCACGACATAATTGCGAAAAACTTTGTTCAGCGCATTCGGACTGTGAAAATTTCCATGCGGGCAAAGTTTTACGCACAAAAAGGATCTGTTGAAGTCCTGTCAGTAGTATATTTATAGTCATTTTATGAATCTACTAGATCAGGCCTCGGCTGTTCGGGTTGCCTTTCAGTAAGTGACTGTCCACATATCTCGTGAATACGTTCACGGTAGGAGACTTAACAACATACTCCGGCAAAGACTTCCATTAACGAATGACCTTCTGTGAGAAAAAGAAGGAACGCTGACTTGTGTGGCACAGCTCCCATTTCATCGAAACCTATCAAATTTTAGTTATTGGATTTTAATGTCTATTGAGAAACAGCATCTTGTGCAAAACACATGAAGAACGTTCATTCCACATCCGTATTATTTGAGATAATATAACTAATTTTAAAAAAACCGTCAGGTTTTTGAATGACTAGCTGCCGCTTGTTAATCAAAGGAATGGTGTCTAAAAATGTAAGACAATGGTATGTGTTGGCAGTAGTTTAAAACGTGTTTTCGGGTTTGAAGTGCTCGATTTTGAGAAGTCATGAATGTTTCTTTATATTACTGCATAATACTGAGCAAAGATAGAATAAATATCTTGGAAAATTTCTAATTTGTTTTGCCTCATTTCGTATATTATGGGATCTGCAAAATTCGGGTAATAGTAATTGTGAATTTGTCTACTGTTTTACTGAAATCTAACAAACATTGTATTTCTTCAGTTGAAAACACTGCAAATTTGTTTTAAGTGATTATTTTCAACGGTCATTTTAGTATTCCAATTTTATCGTTGGGCGATATTCTTGTAATCAAAAACAAAGGCTTCGGGCGTTGGTCAAAACCGCGTTCAGTTTGTTGCTACTGTCTGTCTGATGAACTTAAATGGTTGATGCAATTTGACGGTTTCATTTAGCATGATAATTTTCTCCCACAAATTGCGGATCGAAAATTTGGTTCTGGAGATGTAATTACCGCATTAACTTTTACGAGGGCGCTCTTGAAGAGGACGTTGAAGTGGCACATTTGGCAGACGGGCAACATCGTACCTGCCATGTCCAGCAGCTGTACAAGAGAAGAAAACTGTCTTCTAGCATCCAACTGTAGGAAATACGCCCTTATCTTACATCAAGATTCTGCATAGAAAATAGTGAAATCTGTTTTATTATATCTTTGTTAATTTCCTTGACGAGTATCGTTCATGTAGGACAATTACATTTGAGGACTACTTTTTTTAAAAAGTTGCGCAACATGAGCACCACACGCAGCGAGGAATTGGAAATAGAACAGAGAGATTGATATTTGGCTGGTCGACTTTCGATAACATACTCAGCCTTTTCGAATATAGGAATTGAGGTTTCCGATTAATGGCTCCCAAAGACGTTGTTTCGATTTAACTTGAACTATTACCTACTATGTGGACTACGCGGTCATCCAGTTTGACTCTGTCCAAGGGAAAATGGTAATAACTGTCTAAACTGACAGACTACTTTTCAGCCTCTATGATGACGAGTAATCTGAGGATGGAACCATTCATTCTTAAGCGATGACAGAGAATCAGGAGTTTTTTTTCACTGCTGGTCGGATTTGTGTTTTATCGCTCCCCTGGACAATGCCTGTAAACTGGCATTTAATAAATAAATAAATAACATTAACATGGCACGTCCGACACAGACCAAACTTTGAGAGACCTGGGCTTGATGGTGGTAACCGAAAGTCGGCCGTTTTCCGAGACGGAAGCCTTTGAACCCTTTGATTGACTCAGTGGGTTCGAAAATGCAAAAGTCACTGAGAACAATCAAGACGATTTTCGATATTTAAGATGGGGACCGAGTTAGCGCATAACTCAAACAAAGACTTCCGGTCCAATTAAATCTGGTCGGCCACATTATATCTAGAAATCAAAAGTCAATCTACAGATTTGAGTCAATCACTGACATTTCGAATTACCTGTCAGTAGTTACAATCATTTGTTTCGTCACTTGTTCCGTCATTGACGGGGTAAGATAGCCCTCTATTTCGTATTTATATTGTAACAATTGTCGCGTCTGCACTTGGTAATCCGGTGTTCAGTGGCTTTTGTTTATCAGTTCCTTGAAAGCTTAAAATTCCAGCCAAATGAATCTATATCATCTTTGATGTTGTTTTGTTCCTCACCTCCATTCCGCAAGAACTAGCGATTGAGATTATGAGACAAATTTTGCCTGGCCTCTACGACGAGACAAATATTCCCCAGTAGTTTGAACGTTCGATCGAGCTCTTATGGTGTTACATGAAAATATATTTCCCCATGAGTGGACAAATGGAGGAACAAATTAATGGCACCCGATGGACTCCCCTTATCCAGGCTGACTGCTGAAGTGGTCCTTCGACTGATGGAAAACTGGGAGATCACCAGGTATCAATAAAAGTTCTTTGCTTGTTACGTCAATGACTCTTTCGCCATTGTCAAATCATCCGACGCAGAGCACTTTAATGCATAACTAAACTCAGTTGACCCGAATACCAAATACACAGTAGACGCCTGAACTAACGACAAACTCCCCTTCTTGCATAATCTTGTGCGCTAGTGTGCAAAATTCCGTTTACAAGACAAATACTATACTTAAACTTACTTATGCTCTCTCACAAACGCAGTTGGGTTCGGTTGGTTTTCGAAAAAGGTGAAGCGCACTTCAGCACTTTAGCCGACAAAATAGATGAACGACTTCTCCTTCGTGACCTCTCTCGGACCAATGACTATCCAAGTTATTTTATCACGCAGAGCAAGCGCCAAGTGAACCGACGACGGCCACTAGAATAGCAACATGACGTCTTAAGGACTATTCTGTAAATTAGAGGAATATCATGCGGTTTCATGACTATTACAGCCCGCCAAATTGGTCATTGCGCATCATGAGGCCTGGGAAATCCTGCGTTATTACGAACGTCATGACCAGTACAAGAGGCTCATAGGGAGCGTAAAACACCGAAGAAAAACGGTGGTCGACTAAAACTCATAAAAGGGGAGCACAGGTCAAAGAGTGGAATGTCCTAATTGCGGATGTTTGATGTCGCCATTGATGCACAATTTTAAAAAGAATATTGACATATTAGAGTTTTAAAATGACCAAGATCGATAGGAGATCAAGCTCTTCCCCTGAGACTTACTCCCATTTTGTTATATCATTATGGGCAAGTTTTAATTACTTCAAACATCAAAGTGATGACCTCTGTGAAAAAGTAAGGGAGATAAGCAAGATGACGTAGACCTCTGCTCCCCTTCTTGTCGATCTTGTCCTACTTTTAACTGTCTGAAATCAACATCAAATAACACAATCAGTGGGAAACTAGACAAAATTTAGTTTAGTATAATTCAGTATATATGACGGATAGAGGCAGAGCCTTTAAATATCCTAGTTACAGAAAGCAAATCGAAAAAAGGTCCGTGTCCACGTTGTGACGGAAGCCGGGGGCTGTGCGGTTAGCATTAGAGCCAAAATAAAAATTCATGACTTCGGTTAGTAAAGGGGTAAAAACCAATGGCGTTACGGAACTCACTCCTCCTGTTGTGCCTCGGGGCTCCCACTCTCTAACGGGGCAATAGCAGCATTTCGGCGCGAAATATAGCAGAATAGAATTTCTTGCAAAGACAACAGACATTGTTCTAGGGCTGCTTTAATGTAAAGCATGTGGGAAACACGGCAAACGGATCCGTCATAAATCAAAAAAACTTCATTAAAATACATCGACATATGACAGGGGTTGAAGGAATTCGTGCGGCTGAAAAAACAACAAATTCAGGACGCACTTACATGATGAAGGATGGAATCATTCATACCTTCTTTGTCATTTAAGTCAGCGCCTGTACTTGACATGGCATTAGCAGAGAGAAATTGCAAATTGTTTACAATTTTACTAGAGTCTCTTTTGGTGTCCAGACATAGAGAGGGGACAAATTCAAGGTGAAATCTAACGTTTTAGGTATTTTCTGTCAACGGTAAATGCTGAATGCAAAGCGCTAGGAATAAACCCAACCAGTAAGGCCAATGAACAATCACGTGTTTATCAGTCGGAACAGTGACTAACTGCCAAAATTTGAGGATGGCTGACATTCACGCAGGGAGTAGAATGTTTAAGGGTAACGCAATCGCGCATCTTTGAAGACGGCCCGGGCGAAATCGGACACAGACAGACATATGGACATAAAAGACTGGCCCCAAAATGTTAAATTCAGTAGCAACCTCCCTCGTCCCTCGCCATCGAATCTGAAGTACCAGTTTACAAGCTCGTCTTGATAATTAAGGTAAACGGGCTAAAATGCTTGCATACAGACTCAAAGAGGAACAATCTTGCCAATCCCCAATACATTTCGTTCTAGCTCCACTGTCAACTGCTAGTTAGAGCTCAAATTGATTTCTTCAGGATCGTAATATTAACGCTAACGACCTGCCCATTATACTTTAGAGCCTTACTCCCATTTCTGTCACTGCTGACTACCCTCTCATTCGTCCTCACAATAAAACCATGCTCTCACCCATGTCGACCTGTTACACGACGGAGTCGTTGCAAACGCGTAATGGGAGCAATCTGTCAAGAAGATTTCGTGCTAAATGTATGATTAATTTTTATCATATACAGCACGAACTGAACTTGAATCTTCATGTAATTATTGCTATATGCTAGTTGCATTAAACTTCCAGACGATTCATATTGTAAAAAGGAATCATATAATAGCGTGCAAAGATAAGATTTATGAGATTAGAAGGCATTTAGCTTCCTACTGAAGTGATACCTATAGAAAATCGTTAATTTCCTGGACGTTGTATAAAGGTACGAGGACATCTTCACGGAAGGCTAATTAATTCATAGCAGCTGCTTATATTACGAGTCGGCCAACACTAATAACCAACCCATAACCGTATTCGTCGCACTATATCAGTCTTAATATTGTCAGTTATTGTTACAGTCAGTTACAGAGTGCAGTGTTCACACCTATTTCTATGCCTTCCGCCAGATAATCCGGAAGAAAACAATTCATATGCACTTTCCGGCAGTTAGCCCAAATTCTTAAATAGCTAAATATAATGTATTAACTTGTTTTTAAATTCGACCAAGCATATTGTCGTCTGACAATAAAAAATTGCATGCACATTCTGGCAGTATTTTACTAGTTTAAGTGCATCAGCTGTTATTTATTATTTTAAGCGGCTGCGTTAAATAATTTTGCCAATCCAAGGTGAGGTGATAGGATCGTTTATATTCTTAATTTTAGCACTTATCAATTCTTTCTGTGTGTTATTTCTTCTCGCAACTAGAATTATGACATACAAATTTCGAATTTCAAGCGAACTACCAAAGACCCCCAACTTAAGTCAATGTTAACATGACATATATTTTTCTATGTGATATATATCACATACTGACATATCATACTGACATATATGTCAGTATGATAATGTCGTGCATCGAAATGTTCGAACAGGTAACTTTGAATTCATACTCGGAAAGTCCTAACGCAATAAAAAACCTCATTATTTTAAAGGCATTCCCTTGCTAAGGCGTCGACCTCTACTATATATCACAATCAGCTGTATTAAACGCGAAACCATAGGATTTCAGGGTCCCACAGTGACGCGAGACGATCTGATATGACTAGGGGAACAAAAACCACAAATAGTCAGGCGTCCGCCCGCGCATTTCTTTCGGTTAGGTGACACGAGGGGCAGCATCGGTGATCTGCCTCATATTGCCTCTTCCTCAGCCCGTTCACAGCCCCTCGCAGTCCGTCATAGCCCACTCGTGAGGCGGGACTGTGATGTGGCACGAGGGAGCTGGCACTGGCAGACTAAGGTCCAACGTCTTAACCAAATTGGTAAAACTGGATGTTATCCTGTGTTGGCATACACGTTGGGATTCAAGAACTCGTCCCGGACTCAATCGTTGTCGGCGCGCCAATATCCCCTTGGGGCCAACCTTGAGGTAGCAGCAAATTTGCTGGTTATCACACTTCGGTCATAGACAGCTTTAAATTGGGTTTATTAAGAAAACGTTGAAGATGGTTTACGGAATGTAACTTTTTAACTTAGTCAGACGTTTCTCGCACGTCGTCTCCTTCCTGCTTGTAATTAAGTACCATGCTCACGGAGCCTCAGTTATCAGAAGCCCTTTTTATCCCCTAAATTTCGTCAGATCACGAAATTGACCTAGGGCACCGGCATATCCAAAAAGCATCCAGGATTTAGTATTGACGCTTTTCTACTTGATCTACTTAATATCTTGCACTTACTCTACTGCAACAGCAATTTTCGCTGGGGAGGAATATCAACTATTACTGCGCAGGCTTAGGTGTTCCGCAAAATTCACATCAAAATGAACTGCACGCTCGACTGACTACTTGTCAAATTAAAAGTGCCGTATTATAGCTCATTTCTTCGTCTGGCCACAGAAAAATTGTTATCGGTTATGCCGTACCTCATTTTCTTAAAAGAGTTATACGGTAGACACAAAACCCATGAAATTTGACAGGCATTTTGTACGCCATTTTTGCCAGGTTATAAAACTGGTTAGCTTTGAGCACACCTCCAAGTGCATTTATATTTGGTGGCTAATTGTAGCTGGTAAACAATAACTTAAATATACAGTCGAAATCATCAGCCGCCTAGTTTATGTATCTGCTTTGAATGAATTCTTCACCCGTCCACATAGTCACTGATATTTTGTCCGTAAATACCCGCGTTTATCTTATGTATATTTCAGCCGAATTTTGTTCTCGAAAAGATAATAAGTGCGGTTTCAGTTTGTTTTTAACTTGCAAATCGCGGTTTCCCTTTTTAAAAAAGGATGCAGCTTTAAAATTATCTGGCACGGTTTACATATATGCATGCACAAACCTCTACACCATGATAACGCGTTGGAGCCCAGAAACACCTATACAAACATCTATAACGTTTTGTTAATTTCATTTGGTGGAAAGCAGAACATTAAGTTTTGGGACTCCTAAACGTATGCTAAAAGCCAATGCAAAACAAGCGGGTTCGCTGTCTCTAAAGGAAGAAAATTCCCCACGAAAAACGAATAAATACGAAGTCGTATGCATTCTCCTGTACTTTTTATTTAATTCTGTGCAGATATCACAGACACACAAATTTCTGTTTTAATCCAAATGTTCCTTTTTCAGTTTACGGACGTTTACCCACGTCTTTACCGCATTTAGCCTAACAAACGTCTTTTCTTTGTTCTAATATCAAACATACCTGTTTTAGCAGACGACTTACCGTATTGAGTTACGAAAACTTGTAGCCCAGCCACTTTTGCACTGGTGTTTTTTTCTCGTATCTTTTTAGTTCGGTGACTGCTCTGTGACGTAATTCATCAAACTGAAGGCAAGATCTGAAACCTCTGCATTTGCGGATCATTCGCAAACTCCCAAACGGATTGACCAGTCTTCGATTCCGCTTTCCCAACCGGCGGCTCGTCGCATACTGTAGGTGTACACGTCTGTAAAAAACTTAAATATTTGTGTCACGCAAAGCCTAAGTTCTCCTTTTAATACTTTTTTGCAAACAAACTTAGAGAGGCAATTGGTAACTGACATAGTTCGCGACCACACCTGCATGTCTCTATCCAGCTCGAAACAATTGGGTTTTCACTTTATTCAAACGTCTGTCAGCATCCTCTGCTGTGGAATAATAATTTCTACTCGTCACGTAATATGCGAAACATGGCCTCTCACACGGGCATTTTTCCGGATTGACCCTTAACATCACAAATGATCTGAACCAAGTGCGATTTGCGTGTGACCCATAAAACGTCTTTATTTCACCTCATAAACAGCTAGTAGTGTTATGCAACAGGCGTGCAGCTTTCTATTTAAAATAGCCGGGCTAATGCATGTTTTCCTTACCGCACGCCATTCTTATCAGGGATGATGTCAAAAGTAGTTATTTAGGAAGGTAAAATAGGGTTGTTTTCAAAAATGGGGGCTAGGGTTATGGTTCTCTGACTGTCTTGGGAAATCGCACAAAATTGCATGATGCCACCGGCACTGCACTCGTTGCAATGACCGATAAATTGAGAAGTCTGCATGCCGCAACAGTGCGAGCCAGTGGCTTCTTCCATAAACAAAATGTTAGACAAAGCAGTGGTTTTTGAACGCTCCAGTCACCAAACCTATCATAAGCAATTTCCTAGTAGTGTCACAGTTTCCTCGCGTGCTTGAATGATAAATGCGCCCATTGTTATGCATTCAGAAGAAACAAGAGACACCTGAGCATAGCTTGCAGATTTGTGTGAATGTTTTTGCCCAAAGAAGGTTATGGTCTACGACTCGGGTATCAACGCAAGGAAACATTAATTCTGACCCTCCTTCAAGTCACACCCGGTGGACCAGAGGTTTCGAGTACCTCGGGTGGCGACTCTCCTTAGCAATGGCGCTTCTTAAGTTTTGCAAATATTCCCACATCAGGCTTAAAAAGTCAATTTGATGAACGCGTGTTTTTGGCAACTCATCGTCAGGCCAAATCAGTTACACAGAAATTGGAAAAAATGAGAAGTTCACAAGATTTTAAGGAACTCAGCGGTCATTAAAACTCAACGCTCCTACGCCACCCGCATAACGAGGTCGACATTTTACTACCATTGGGCAAAGCGGAGGTGGCATAGGCTGTGGGGTTTTTTCGTAGTTCGAGTACGTAGAGTACACATTCCTATCACCAGGGGTTAGTGCGGCGTGTAATGATCATCTGGGACCGATGTTAGCCACAGATGACTGATAGCTTGTGTCAACGTCTTCTGAAAACGTAGCACTGGAGCCGCCACTAGCCGTATAGTCACTGCCTCGGGCGCAGCTAACGCCCATTCGCATAGGCCTCTTGAGACAAGCTGTAAAACTTCCTTGTCATGGACTCGGTGATTCGCATCGACAAGATGTGCGAAAGAAAAGTTCTATATCGATCTGTTTTCACATCTGTCTAGCCAGGCCGGTATGTGTTTGCGTATTCTCTTTCCTAGGCGTCTCGTTGCACGGTCAGTGTTTGTCGCTCCACAAGAGTAAACACACATCTCTGTGCACTGTAATGATAGTCCGCCCTAACCTTCCAAACGTAGGAAGGGGATTTTGTGAAACATACATTCAACTTCGCCGCAGGGAAGGCGCTACTGATCGCTGTTTTCAGACGCCGTCTTACTAGATCGCTTTGTATGTCCCCCCGAATAGGCAGCCTGATAAATAAGTCTTTCTTTTCTGCTATTGTTATGGTAGGCTTTTCAGTGTGCTTGTCAATTTTTCGAAGTATAAATCCCTCCGAGCATATGCTTTCAGCGGTTGTTGGAGTTCTGGTTCAACAGTTTCGGGAGAGCAGATACGCTGCACTCTAGCTGCTCAGCCCTGAATCAAATAACGTTCAATATTTTGATGAACCAAATTAACTTATTGTCCCGTCCGGGTTATCTTTCCTAATACCCTACGCTGGATAGGTTCATCCCATTTCTGTGCAGAAGGACATCGAGTAGCGCGATTTCATTGATTGTGTCACACTCTACAGAGAGCCTTAACGATGGTTGTGCACTGTTAAACTTTTGAAGCAGGACATGAATGCCGGTGTTAATTTGTATGTACTGAGTAAATCGTGTTTTATGCCCTGGTAATTGGTAATTTAAACGATGGCACATGTTGCGGACCTGGCGGTTTTGCAAAAATTGTGGCTATTACTGTGTATGACCCCAAACCTCTGTAGACATTAAATTATTCCCCTGGCAGCTTGCAAAAATGTCTTTGGAGGTGTTGTCGAGCGTGCTCGGCCCGAGGGGGAGGGCAACTTTTTTGCGATCCCGATCAATTGTGTGAACGCCTTCGGGAACCATCACTGGCAGAAAGATTATAGGCACTGGAATAGTCGTCTTCGGCCTATTAGTCGTTATCGTCCATCCATAACCCAAACTCAGATGCTCGCGGGGTCTAGCGGGCCACCGGGCATCCTACCACACCATAGAATCCCCTGAACTACTGTAGACATGTATGTGTGAAAGTTGACGTGATCCTACTTGAAGATTTCACATGGTCGTCATCGAGCTAACTTTGGCAACAAGGCAAGCACCTCCTACATGAAATCCTTGTTGGCCTTTGGGTGAACCGAACTGCACAGGCTGGCATCGAGAGTGTACTGTTCGTTATTCCTCCAAGGAAGTCCGCATAAGACTTGCCATAACGTCCAGAACCCATTTAATTACCTATGACAGCAAATCTTTTTCAGGGTCTCTATGCTGGTTCAGGTATGCGGTCTGTCTTTCTTAAGCTGCAAGAAGGGGTCTTTGGAAAGCAGGGTATGTTAGTAAAAATGGCATTCTACCCCGTGTTGATCGAGAGGCATTTCTTCAATCAGAAGTGGCACAGATTGGGTTCGTCTAGGCCACTGAGTATAGACGTATTTGTGATAAACCTCATCTGCTTTTCTACGGAACCATATGGACAAAACCACCGCCACAAAACCGTCAAAGTATACTCTGGAAACTAGAATATGCTGTTTGGATAACGTCTTGATCCATTAAATTAACATCTTATTCGATTTCTAAAATCGTTGCCTGCCTCCTGAGATTAATTTCATCCGATTCTATGTTGAGTGGGAACAAAGTTAACGAAGTGTTTCGTGATATCTATTGCAATATGAATTGCACTCATCATACGGACGACTTTTGCCGTGGATTTTGGCTGATTCTTGACTGTACTTACAAGTATATTTGGCTTATTTGGGACGTCAAGTCTTAATTTTTTTACATTCCAGTGGATTGATGCAGTGATTTCCCGGGATAAATTTGAACAAGGCGAAGGCGACAAAGCATGCAGAATTTAATGACGTCATAAATTTCGAGACCTCTCATTCAGCTGCACACGGTCGTTGCATAGTTATATTACAAGGCAAAACTGTTCAATCAACGATCGACCTAGAGAGCTAAAACGTGATAGGTAACCTGAAACATGGGTCTATTATGCGGGTGCATATGGTGAGGGGGGGAGGGGGAGAGAAGTCATCCAAGTATGTGAGAACTGGTGCAGCGTGATTTGGAGTGCAACGTGCGGGGAGCATTCAGTCATGCCGGGGAGAGGGGGGGGGGCGGGTGGGGGCGAAATGAGAGGGCGTACATGGGAACAGGGTTTCGTCCATAATCGATAATTACCATGGCAGTGCCAGGTTTATCACATGATCCAGCAGCTTACAGAGTTCTGGTTTCCTCCTCCGTATTGCAGCGGCCCGGTGAGTAGAGGCGTTGACTTCTAAACCAACAGGTCGCGAGTTCGAGGCTCGGGTGTTCCACACTTCGGGCTTGGGTATGGCTGGCTGACGACGGCTAATAAGCCAGAAATGGCCATTCCAGTCTCCCTTGTCTTCGTCGGTAATATCATTTCAATTTTTGTTTATATCAGTCACCGTCTTCCGCCTACCGCAATATCAGCTTACATAATTTCCTGTAAGGTGTTATTGGTAAGGATCGGGTTAAGGCCCCCAAACGTCTGTGGCATGCAAACAATACCTACTTATTGAAGTGAATTTAAGTCCGACACAATTATCCCGGTTTGGTGTTTCATCGTACAAGGTTGGGTCGTCTGTTGTAGGCAGTCTGGTGCATTAATTACAATGACCTCAGCTCAGAGACTTGAGAAGCGATCGTTTAAAAACTCTAGCGAATTTATAAGTGGAGGCAAACATTCACACAGCAGGTATAGGTGATGAAGAATTAGGCAGCCAGATAATTCGCTTATTTTCTGATCTTTTAAACTCATCAGGGAATCTATCGTCAGAGAGTAAAACAGTAGCAGCAACAACAGAACAAGCGACAGTCACAGGAAGCATATACCGGAAGCAAGACTAGCCGTGAATTAATAGAAGCCTGGACGTCTGAGAAGAAGTCAGTCAATCGATGTGTCGATTTGGCGCCGTCATTAAGATTCCTGCGTTGACATTTCCAGATCTGCGTCAGTGATCATCGATTGGCAAAGGGGACAAGGGCGCAATATGCAACCCCACTCAGGAAAGAAATACCAGATGGCTTTATGCGTGCAACTAAACGGCGGAAAGGAGAACGTAATATTAGATAAACATTCGGATAAATGTTGAGGTTCCATATTGTGTCCTCGAGCGAAGTTCCTCTGCATATACTCTTAGAAGAGCACACCTGCCAAGAACTGATATCTGACAGTTCAAGCAAAAATTGAACATTTATCGCACTTCTTCCAGTTTTTTTGCAAAATAAGTATTAACAAGAGCGTGGAAGCGTTAACTATAAAATAGCAAGGACGCAATATGCAATTATGATGTGGTTTTCGTTCCCTGATTGGGGTTCCGTACTCCGTTTTTTCTAGCACATGCCCTCTAAAACTGTTGCCCGTTCTCTTGCTGCCATTATCTTTGACGTTGGTTTTTCTGCACGAGTTCGAATGTATAAAAATAAAGAGGGGAATAAAAAGGAAACCCGAATACAAGTGGTTTTCACCTAGTCACACCCAAGGCCATTTCTTCCCTAGCAGTTCTGCATTGTGAAGGGAGCCACACTGCTGTTCGCTGAACTAAACGAAAATAGTCCAACAGTAGTTTTGCATTTTCGGCGAAAACCTAACATTTACATTAGCTACTCCTGAAAAGGCAATGCTCGTGAATGGAGGTGAACTTTCCGAAGTGGGTTTCGTCCTTGACTTTTAGATCTGCACAGTAAGGCCGCACATCTGCACTACTGACCCCGGTCATTGGCGTAGTTCACGCGAAACCGAAAGTGCTTTGCCGTCCTGACGCCATTTATTGGTTGGCACAAACGTCCTGCCCGCTCCTCAGTGGACACGTCGTTTGAAGTGCATTATTCAACTGCTTAGGCGTGAGTTCTTGTGCATTCATGGAGCCGGTGGCCTGTGGGCCAGGAGGGTAAAGTACAACTATAACCATAAGAAGAAGAAGAAGAAGAAGAAGAAGAAGAGGAAAAAGCGATCGCAGGTACAAGGGCGTTATTCGTCTGACGTTTCGGATTCCCACTTGAATCCATCATCAGAGACCGTGGCAGAAAAGGTGACTCGTGCACAGGAAATCACAGTATTTATAGGATGCAGTCGCTATGCTACCGCATACCTATAGCAATTAAACGCGCTCCCCTTCATCAAGGATTGCTTCCCGCTGGTGCGCTAATTGCTTGATGGTCCGCATGCAAGTTGTTAATTGCCAAAATGTCATCACCCGTATTGGGTGCTGGCGTGATGATTGCTCGGCCATCTGTCTCACCGGCTTGCGCGCTCCCCGATTGGTCTATTACCTTGGCCAGTCTATGCCTCAGCACAGAATATGGAGTGGGAATGTCGTTGCACTTGTTGATAGACTGAGCTCCCGTGAACAATGACTCAAACAACTCGCGGCTCACGCGATTATCCCCCCTCGCGAGAAGTTCGGCCTCATCGAACTTAAATGTGCGGGCGCGTCTCGTTGAATGGGCCGCGACCTGAGAGTTGGCGTCATTTCTCCGTACCGCTGCCGCGTGTTCGGCAATTCGCGTTGGGAGCAGTCTTCCAGTTTCACCGACGTAGTTGCTCTGTCCGCAACTGCACCAGATACGGTAAACGACTCCATGAAACAAATTTTCGGATTCCAGCAGTATGCACAAGTAGCGAAGAAGACGACTGCTCGTTCCTCAGAACCGTTTGTTCATTCTCCAGCGTTCTTCAGGTCATATAGTAGTCCATTTTAAAAGACTAAAACGACAACATAACAAGCATCAATTATAGGGAGAATAAGTCAATGCAATATCAGTAACAGCGGTCAGTAGGTGACTGCCCTGGGCTCTTAATGCCGGCACCAGATCAACAAACCGATTAATTTATGCATTTTTACCTAGTTGTCGTGGATTTTTGTGGACTGTGGAATAGGAACGCTCCGCCCAAGTAATAAAAGTGGACCTGCGCATAACCATGGGAAAGACAAAACATTCCTGTCCTAATTCCAACTATAACCCCACCCTAAATCTGCAGCTAACAATAGGCCTTACCTTAACCCTAAACTTGATCCTTACTGTCAACTTTGGATTTAGCTTTAAACCCAGTCCTTAAACTGATCCCCACCCTAAACTTAAGCCTAAACCTGATAGCACTGGAAGCCGACTCAAGGCCACCCATATTACAGGCGATTCCTTCTCTCATGGCCTGTTTTGGGGGATATATAAGCCATTCCTATCCTTTTTGCGTATCGTTCCTGCAAAAGGCATGAATAAGGTGTTAACTATTCCGCCTCTGCGCACTGCTTCACTGCCGCTTGAACTGCAGGCTTGTATGAGGACATTTCCTAGCCCGGAATGAACTCACATCTATCCGGGATAAGGGGGCACGCACCACCAAGACTGTGACTTGGGGACACAGTGGATGTTGGGAAGATCATAATTCCACTTTTGTAGGTCACGTTACGAGTTCCTAAATTGGCTGATTGAATACTTGTTTGCTTGAATCACCAAATGAAAGCGCGTTTTCGGTTTGCCGAAATTGTAGACGGTTTGTGTGCTAGCAATGCGCCTAGTCCACTCCTTCTTTGTTGGAAGCACAATTTTCAGACGCGTGCCATAAATGTAGGTTTTAGTTGCAGCCTTTGTGCTTTATTTTAGAGTGCTGTGTAGGCACAGTCAGTTTAGCGCGCAAACACAAGCAGAGAATACGTTTTCAATGGTTTTTTTCGGTGCCTTGCTGGTGATAAAACTGCACTTCACTCCCACCCTTGTTTTAGGCTGCTTGTTTTGAGTTCTCAAGCCTTAGCCTCAATGCCGATGTTGAAAGTGAGTCTTTTTAAAGGCATTCTTTTGTGTTAAAAATTTAAAAACGTAAACACTTTGCTGTGAACCACAGTCTGTGAGCTAACTCATTGATTGTGAAGGTGCTTTGATCGCTAGATACAGTAGGTGGGATTACTTATGAAATGTCAACCGAAATTCCGAAATGCTTTTTCGTTTCGAAATATTAATTAAGTAAGTTTGTTAACTAATCATCCTGCAGCATAATTCTATAATAATTCAGTTACCTCTGGGTGTCGGCCTTCGAGCGAACTTCTTTCCAGATATATACGAAAACTTTACTCCTTAAAAACTGACTGCATAGGCAACATTCATTTTTCTCACTGATTTTCGATGCCCTTAACAATTCAATTACATTTTATGGGAAAAATGCTTGAGAATATTCATTCTTCCGCTAATTCATTAGATAATGACGTCTTTATCCGATTGTACACTCATACGAAGAGCATAATTCGGTTTTCAAATTTTTTTCCAATTTCCGGATAATTTTGAACCCGACCTGCCGTTACGGATGTATTCAGGGTTTCCAAACTACAAGGCGTATATTTTCCGCGTACGGATAGCCATACATTTCTCCAGGTTATTGATGGGAGAACGTATGGGATTCATAAAATTTAACAGTGGATTTGAGCTAAATTGTTAACTTTACAAGCCACATTGGTTAATGCACAGGCGGCGTTTTATGAATGGCAATCTCATGGTATTGAAAAACGCATAATTAGTACCTTTTTAAAAAACCGAACTATGCCCTTCCTTCGAGTATAGAATTTTATGAAAACGTAATTTTCTACCGAGCGAGTAAAAACATGAATGTTTTCATGTCCTTTTCCCAGCAAATATGATCGAATTTTTAAGGCATCAGAAATCAATGACAACTATGCATGTAGCCATTTGTTACAGGGTATGGTTTTTGCATGCAGCCGAAAAGAAGTTCGTTCGAAAGCAAGTATTCTGAGGAAACTGAATTATTATAGAATCATACTGCATGATGATTAGTTTTGCAAGGCTATTAATATTTTCGAAAGGAAAGCGTATTGCAGAATTTTGGTTGACATTTCATGACTAAGGCCACCTACTGTAGATTAGAATGGTTGTTCCTTGTAAAAGCACATACAGTGATTAAGTGGGATCAGAACTATATTTCCAATCTTTACGCACTTATTTATCCCGTTTAAGTTAGCAAAAATCAACAATACTTTGTAGACGTTTGAGACTATAAAGCAGGACTCATACAATGACTCTCACGAAAATCCAATTTAAACCGCACTCTTGCGACTGTTTGCATTTACACTTTTGTCATGTTTAGAGCTGCCGAACTATGCAACCTTAATTCTTGCTCAAAATGGGTAGAATTATAAATGATCCCCAGGAAGTCACAAACGTCGAAATTCTATCAGACTGTTTTCGGCTTTGTGCGTCGCAGTTTTGCGGTCCTTACTGGAGCACCAGCTCTATTTCTACCCTGCCTCCTGATGATTCGCGATACTTTCTGCAGATCAGCCTTTGGTGGCAGTTGGTCACACGATCACTCATGAAGTGGAATGAACCAACCCACGCACAGCCGCGTAAATTGTGTGGTGTAGCCTGAACTCTGAAATTTTTTGCCTGCAAACACTGACGGTGTTTAAAAGCCCTTTGTGATTTACTACCGCTCATGACCCCGCAAAGGCTAAAGTTACATTGTTAACACCGTGGGAGAGTTGCAAGGGCGTGAGAATATAGGCGGGGGGGGGGGTTAGAAAGTGACACGCAGCCCCGACGTAATGTAACGGTGTGTTATAAAGCCATCAGACGCTGCAATTATCCACTTCGTAAATTTTATTTGCAACACGTCGGGGTCGCCAACTTGTAAATTCTAAGCAATGACACTATGCTGGGAGCATTAACACCCAAGAGTGGTCATCGAACCTAGGGGTTTATTACATACACCACCGTAAGTCGTCCTCTTAGGCGGTACTGGCGAAGCCAGAGCTGATCTTGCAAGAGTCCAGTCATGGCCCCGGAGCTGTTGAGACATCAGTAGCATCTGCTCCTATAGTTTTGCGGGCCAAGCTCAAGTGGAAGGTATCTAATTGGTGTCTTTTGTGTTTGCTGATAGGTGGTATGTCTAGTGGCCTATGCCATGTTCAAATGGCGCATGGGTAGCTGTGACTCGGTAGATGCATGTGCGTCCGAATTGGAATTGGTCCAGTGGTTGCGGGTCAGAACGTCTGGGACTGTTGGCTGCAATGGTGAATGGTCTCGAGACAACGGCGCCTTGAACGCGAATACCATTCATAACAACGAGGGCTGTTTACAACACGATTTTCCGGGGAATATCAGACTGAATGTGTCGAATTTGTGCTTTCTACAGTTCATGCCGTTGAAATCGTCTGCTCTGCCATGCCTCTATGACAAATAAGAACCAGACATCTATCGCCTGCGAGCAGAGTGGTAGACGGCAAATTCCTTTGTGGTATGCAGTAAGTCAGCATCGTCTCGACCAGGATTCCACGATTCCACTCAAAAAAAGGAGAGGGAAGGATGGATCCCTCGACGTGGGGATGTCATTCTTTCGTTATTTCTTTCACAGCTACCGTACACTACCGATTTCTTGATTTCGACGCACTACACGATTGGTTTCGTCTGTTGGAAACCCGCTGATTGTCTAGCAGAGTTTATTTACGGTTTCTCGGCATCCATTGTGTGAAGTATCTACAACGTCATATTAGTCATTTGTTTTCTAAATATGTTCTCTACCTGAAGTATCTGTCCAAGTGTATTTGTTCGATTGTCGCGCAGGATATTCATTTGGCAACATCATTAACGACAGGGAAAATATCCCATTGCTACCGACGTGGCATTGAGTCCGTGGCTGAATAGTAGAGCGCTGGACTTCAAACGTCATATGATCACATAATCTCAAGTTCAAGTCCTAGGTATCGTCGATCTGGAACTAGGTATGACTTGCTGGCTACGGTCAATATTCCAGGAATTGCCATTCCAGTCTTCCTTGTTATGTTAGTAGTCATTCTCAGATTACATATCCGTATGTTTTCCTAGGTATATGTTTTCACCTGCACGTGTGAGTACAGGTATTATGAATATATGATACTTTAGTCAAGTGTTATCACCGAGTTTTAATATACGGCGGAATGTCTAGTTTCCTAGTTCGGCTTTCATTTTTTCAGTGACAACTTGCAGTAAGGCTCTCGGATATTTTATAAAGCAGCCGAAAATCCGTGGTAAAGCTTTTTTAATCACCAATCGGCTCAAAAACACCAATAATTCCCCCCTTTTTGCGACAGTTGGACTCTGTGCTACGGCACATTAATTATAAAGCGAAGCATTTGGACGTTTTTTCTGTAATTTTGATAAACGTGCCTACATTAATCACCAGTCTGTCTCAAATTTGACGCTAAATCTGTGGGCTTCGGCGCACGTCCAATTTGGCAGCAAACTTCCACAGACAATATATCCGATGCAATCCAGCCTTTACGTACTCTGATAAACTTCCTGACTGCACGTTGCGAAGCTGCGCAAAGTCGATGACGGGAGCTGAGTTCTGTTCCTGACGTGCTTCCTGAATGAAATCAGATCTCAAACTGTCGAAATGTGGACGATGTGTCAACAGAATCTCTCCAGTCATCCTGCCTCCGTTTTCATGCCTGAACGTAGACGCTTGGGGGTGAGGATAAAATGCAAGAGGCAGATGCAGATTACGCGTACTTCCCTAATGCCTCCCGGTGACGAGATTCGAACAACCTCTGTAACCTCGATGTACCGTCTAATTTTCTGGTTGCCCCTCCTGTGGTGTCACGCTTCTGCGCTCTCCCATCTACACTCTTTCGAGGGCAGGTGTCTGACTGAAAAAAATGCAGGAATTCGGAGCAGGTAACGTAGAGCTACTTCGACAGGAATATAGTATCCGACCGAATACATTTGGCTCTGTTGGGTGCCATTGTGCGCCCCAGTCTCACGCCCTCGCGTTTGACTCAAAGACGGAATGCATAATTCAGTGCCGGCTCGTTAGATTCGTGGTGAAGCGCCTGCATCAGCTGCTTTAGGACTGAGTCATCTAGCGTGGTTTGTACACATTCAAGCACAGCTTGCATTACTCTCGTGTGCACCGCGTAGGGGCACTTGACATCTCACTGGCGGCCACATCTGTCACATGCACGGAAGTGAAGCGACTATACATTTTTCAGGCGTCTGTAGAAGAGAGCGGTGTAGGCCTCAATGTGAACACCTAAATGTTCGTGGCAGGCGCTTCTTTAAACCGTTTGATCGATGACGCGACTTTTTAATACTAAACAATCAATGCCTTTCGTGGTCTATGTTTGAAAACTGTTGCGAAAACAACACAATATAAGGAGAATATCTCTTAATGGTTATCTTTTCTGTCTCTTAAAACGCGAGTGGAAGTTTTGAAATATATTTTATATTTGATACAATTAATAAGTCGGCGTGCTAATGCCGATCAGTTGAAGCAATAGTTCCCCGGTATGAAGTTGAAACAAGCATGTACAGTAGAATGTATTGGAACCAACAAATTGGGCGACGACTTATTAACTGTAAATTGTCGGTATATGGCAGAGATTACGAATGAAGTTACAGACAACTAAGGGTTCGGGTTGTGTTGCCGTTGGTTCGAGTCTTGAAGAAGGAGACACGATCGCTGGGGCAAAAGCCTTATTATCCTGACGTTTCGGATTCCTGCTCGTAACCATCAGTAGAGGCAAAAAACAAATCCGGGTGGTTCATGCACAAGGGGTTGAAGTACTTGGAGGATGCAGTCACCATGTTACTACATATCTACGAATGTCCACGTCTACCCTCTTCATCTGGGACCGTTGCACACCAAGTGCGACGATCCCGGATGAACGGGGGGAGAAAGTCGTGAATGTTCATAGGTATGCAGTAACATGCTGACTGCATCCTATAAATACTGCAGCCCCTTGTGCATGAGCCACCCGTGTCTGCTGTTGTCTCTGATGATGGTTTGAGCAGGAATCCGAAACATCAGACCAATAAAGCTTTTGTCTCAACGATTATGTCTCTTTCTTCAAGAATGCTTCTGGGAACTCGTCTCTTCGCTTTTATTGGCATTGAGATGTCTCCTCGACGTCCATGAGTTCCCTTTTAACCGAAGGCAACCTTTACGATGTTGATGAATGCCTCTCTGCTAATGATTGTCGTTGTTTTTTCCCAGTGAACACAATGGCCGTCGTGACAACCTGGTGACGATAGTTCCTGAAGGTTTTCCACATATTTGATCTTCTGTGCCGTCTAGAAAATATGACCTCACTCAGCAATTAAACCACTTTACAGACCTAGAGGCGATGCTCAACGTGTTGCATTGCAAAATCTACCCCCAAAACCTACCACCCGGTAGATACGATGATATAATACGGCGGATGGATCGGAGTCCGGATCGTGAAAACGCACCCATAAAAAATGCTCTCACTCGTGGCTTTGATGTCGGACGCGGCTGCGGGCATTTGCGGAGCTAATTGGGATCCCTGCCGCCCACAGTTTTCGTCATTTTTGAAAAGTCTCGTCAACTGTTTGTTGTGGACCAAGGGATGTGGGTGTACGCCAAGGTGCCGGTTCTCGCCCTGCCAACTACCTGCGCCCTCTCCCGCCTCCGGTATTCTTGACCTGGTTTTGACACTGGATCTGAAATGAAGAGTAGGAGATAGTGCGGTAGATACTGCGCAAGTTTACCGCCACTTTGGACTAATTTACGCGCAAGTCATCGTCCCTACTCTAACTCTGTTGCAGTCCACACAGTGGACTCCATCGAAACTGTCGGTCGAACTGTCACTTTGCAAAATATGCCCGGCAATTAGTTTCAAGTTTAAAAGTGATTTTGCCGTGACTTTTTTGTGCCGACAAATAACCTTGATAACTTCTCTCTGTGAATACATTTTACGGACTGGCAAGACTACGTTTTTGTCTGAGATGAACAAAGTCGCCGTTCATTTGTTTGATGTTCTTTTGGTAATAATTTGTCACAGTGACCATCCCCGTTCTAAACTCAAACGACAGTCCTTCTGCCGCTACGATCTCTATCCGTAGAGGTAAGGCTGCAGACACCGTAACTGGAAAGTCGTGGGCACCACGTCCGTACTTAATAAGAAAACCTACCAGCCAACCATATTGCAGTGTTTTGTGACACATTATACCGCTGATTTGCATAGCAGAACTTTATAAAGCAGAACGCGCCCTTCCTTTAGCGAAAAAAATGTTATTCCGTGTACCTAGCCCCTCCTGATTTGCATCTTAACAAAATCGGATTTCTTAGTCCGAGAAGGCACTTGCTGCAGGCGTTTCTGCCCTTTATTGCAGCTTTTTCACAACAGACCGCTCACAAAATTGGAGCCATGACTGTGAAAAGCTGCATAACATGGGAATGTACTGGAACTGAAGAAATTTCACTTTTTATCTAAAACGTGTCAGTATACCTTCGACATAAATGGCCTCAAGACACTTCCGCCTTCCAGAGGAAGACCCTGCACGTTTCCAGTTAATCCACAAAGCAAGTAGTGAACTATGCACCTCCTACTTGTTATTCAGATTTCGATCAAAACCCTCTAATTGCTTCACCAAATCCATGCTACAGAAGCAGTTAGCTTTTCATGCAACATCTTATGCTGCAAAGGTTGTAAAACTGCAAAAGTGCTAAGTGGAAAATGTGGCATTGGCAGTTAAATGAAAAAATCTTCAACTGAAAGTAGTTTCAAAATTGTCGAGGCCTAAATCGGATTTCCCGAGAAAAGCTTTGTAGTGGTATGACACATCCAACGTCTGGGAGCTCCACCGTGCCGACTGACGGGATATCAAGCGGCGTAAGAAATGCAGAAGGTACAAGATGCAGTGATAATGTTAGGGGGATTTAACAGAACTGGGGTTGAGGCGGACGAGGAAACTTCCTTGCCAATAAAATGGAAAGAGTATGTTTGTGGTGTGTTTGCTAGTTCCTTGGAATTTATGATGTAGGTCGTTTACAGAACGCAGATTACGGAAGGCCGAATTAAGTAGAAATTCCTTGTTTTTCAAGTACGACTGATGACAGGCTACTAAATGAAAGGCGCAAAATTTAGAACAACCTTGCACATAATGCAGAAAAAAGTGATTTTTGAACTTCTACTGATGTGCCTGTTGTTGCGGCCAAGAGCACTGGAGTTAACGATGCAGGTAAATACGGTTTCTGTCATTTGTTGTGTGCCCAGAACAAATTATGTTTTAACTTCTGTGATTACGAGATAATCGCATGGAACTCTAACTAGGCAGGAACATCGGACTCCAGCTAGTACCTATGTCCGCATATTCATCCCTATATAGACAAATCTGCTTATTGATATACCATCAAACTTGGCCATTAGCCCTTTTATTTTGTTGATCACTTTTATCGAGCCGACAAGCACTTGTTTCAGTTGAGAAGTCTCATCAAAAGTGGTAATTTAACAAACAACCGTAGTCCTAACATGGATAGCATGGATTTGGGCAAACTAAAACTCGGCTCTTTTTTCCACTTTGGCACCGCTGTCCTGACCAAAACGCTAAGGTATCTTGTCAAAACGTAGCAGAATTCCGGAAATACCGCATCCGATATCACGATCGGCATAAGTGCTCACGAGGACAGAGAAATTACGATTTAATTTATTCCGCGGTAGGACTGTCTCATACGGCCCCCCTTAAACAGCAAAAGCCTGCAACACGAGTGACTTTAAGCCAGTTTGCAGCGCAATTAGAGTTGGATGTAAGGTTACAGTTATGATTAGGTTAAGGATTATATCTAGGGCTAGATTTAATGTTAATGGTAAGCTAAGTGGGATTGAAGTTTAGGATTTAGGTAGGAGCTAGTGCTAACTGCAGAGATCAGGCTTAGGGTAGGGTTGAGGTCAAGATTAAACAACGGTTTAGTTTTACATTGGGATTAATTTTGGGGTTAGGACACGGGTTTATTTTGCCTCTTTCGGTTTTTTGCCCATGCCCTGCTGTATGACATGGTTGGGACGTTTTTATTTCCAGGTTCTGTATAGGGGGGCACATAAATCAGTCCTATCTACTCCGCCCGTGGACAGTCTCACGGTGCAGCCAATGTTGTTTTGAGTTTGATTCTTATATACTCACTGGTTTTAACTACACTGTCTCCCTCCTTTTCCACTCAAATCCGCAAAGATCATGAATGGCCCACGGACCGCCCTTCCAAACCTCAACGAGATACGTCGGGAGAACGAAATAGGCACCTCACCTGACACTGAGTTTGACGCCCCTACTACTCCTCCTCCACAGCCTCCTCCTCCTCCTTCATCGGAAACAGCCATATTCCGACCCAACGACTTTGGCACAACCCGCGCATCGCGACCAATGTTCCCCAATCTTCCGAGTACGTGTTCTCCCTACCTCAGATCGCTATCCATATTATTTTACCTTTCACGTATGGGGGCGAGGAAATGCGACTTCGGGTCGTTGTTACAGCGCAGGGGCTTTCGCGGTCAGTAAAACAGTAGCTTCATCAGCCTGCGTTTTTGAACTCTTACAGAAGTCCACAATAACGGACTATGTGAGTTTGGCAAGGTGTGAACAGTTTTGTAGTCAGACAATGAAGGGTGGGAAAGGGAGACTAGATAGTGTCTGTGGATGGTTTGCGTTCCCGCCGTCTAACTTACAGCGGTTGAGTCATTTCGCCACCATGGAAGTAGGAGGAGAGTCGGTGTCGGCTTATAACTCCGTCTACGTAGCCATAAAATGTGGCTCTTCTGTTTGTTTCTGATCTCGTAATTTTAGTAGCACGGTTGCCTGCTCTGCATTTTGTTGCCCATATAGCATGTTCGTTTATTTAAGGTCGTATTAATTTTAGTTTTCTTCAAACTCACCCAAAGCTGCATAATTTGGATCCAAAATGGAATTTGTCTGCAAATCTCCCAAGTATTCTCTACAGTAGAAAGTGGAGAGTTTGTTACCTCTAAACATTATGCGCATTTAAAAGATATTCGTCGTTAAATCGTCTATTGACTCAGAGGTATATGTAGGTTTATATATCCTTATTCACGTTGGTTTATATTTATATATATTTCGAAAGAATTAAGCTCTTTAGGAAAGATTAACAAGTTTTATTGTAAATTTTCGATCTTGGTTCCCCAATTCGTCTTCAGACGTGAAGTGTGCAACACAGTCAACATTTAAACATGCCGAAAAAATCGATTTTGCCTTGTCATTCTAGCTGGTGTATTGTTTTGATTGGCTAATGCCTTTTCCACTTTTCCTTGAGGCTGATTTACACCGTATCCAATTCTACGTGTCGATTGATGCATGCGTTATCAGAATCGATGGCCTCAAAAAATTCACGGCCCTTTTTAGATGAACAGCCACCTACAATGCGGGTCCTGTCCCAGGCGAGTTTGTGTCCAGTTTCCAACGTATGTATGGCAACTTGGGACAAGTAGTCTTGCCTTTTTACGGCCAAAGGATGTTCGTGTATTCGTGTAAAGGCCGATTTCCCGGTTTGACCACAGTAAACCGCATTACAGGTGTTGCATGGTATCTTATAGACGACAGTCGTCTTATCTAAATAGTCAACCCTATCCTTAGGGTGTACAAGCTGGTTACGAAGTGTAGTCGTCGGCTTGCGCGCCACATGTATCTGGTGCTTCCTCGGGTGTCTTTCAACTAGTTTGGACGCATTCTTAATGTATGGAAGTGTTCGCCAGTTTTTAGGATTGGGCGCCTGATCGGAACAATCTAGTTCCTTCTCTTTTTCTTTTAACTCCTGTCGTCGCATGCATCGGTGTACAAAATATCTAGGATACCTATTCTGGGGAAACATACATGAAAGGAGAAAGTCCGTCGGAAAAAAATACTTTTACTCGTAAATTTTCGAGCTGGTTGCGCCAACCCGTCGCGCGACGAAGTGAATAACGAGAGGGAGGATTATTACCTCTCATTTTCACTTCGTTTGACGACGGGTTCGTGGAACCAGCTCGAAAATTTACAAGTAAAAGTACTTTTTTCCGATCGAATTCCTCCTTTCGTCATATCTTCTCGAAATGTATGCTTCTTCAGTTATTAATATACATGTGTCTGTGTGTGCCTGTTTTTATTTAGAACGATTTTTTGAAATTTTTGGAAAATCCCACATATTAGTTTCATAGAGATTGTCACATTATTTGCTATTTTATGTCATTTGCTCATTTTCTTTATTGACAAATGCAAGTGTACATGGCCTTGTGAACTTTAGTAGTTGATACACCAATGTCAAATTACTGGCGTTATTTGCTACGTTGATATTCTCTTTCTCCGAATGAAGATGAATGACCGAATTCCAGATGTCTATATGCGTAACGAAGAAGACTGATTGAGGACCGGAATCATTTGTCTGTTTGTCCGTGATCTTCGAACTCGTGCAGCAGTCCTTCGTTAAAGTTAAAATTAGCAACGGAACCGACGAAAACTATAGTGTAAATCAACCAATCAGCGGTTAGTAACGCATGCGTGGACGGGGCTTCGCAGGGCGCTGCGTGCCGGGTCAAGGCAATTGACCGATTGATTGAGTACTCATCCTAGTCACAGGGCTCGTCTTGCTTGTTGACGGCCACATGCAACAGTTCGTTGCCCCGTCGCAGAACCAGCTTCTATGTTCTTAATAGCCCTACTTGAACATTCATCCGGTTTTAAAAATTGTTTACTAAACGTCAATTCCTTACTGGACAAAAGGTCTTCCAAAGTTTTGACAGAGCTTCCTGCTTTTTACAATGCACAGGGTCAGGCTCTGCGCAAGTTCGTGCGTGAAAATTTAGGCTCCACGTTTCTCAAATATACATATTATGGACGTGCAATGACACCAGCATATAAAATAGCAACTCAAGGAAGCTTGGCACGGCTGAGATCATTTGTGTGTGTGATTGTTTCAAAGTGTTGCCCTCTCTCATCTAACTTATTTAAAACGGATGGCGCATTAGTAGAAGTCGGGCCGATTTGCGACTCGTAGATACGAGATTCTTAAAGACCCTAACCGCATCGAAATCAGATGATGACGATGATTGTACGATTGATGCCGCATGACATGCCGGCGTTTACGTTGGGCAGAAAGACTTCCATTTTTTCTGAAGTCACGTCTGTCGGAGAAAAAAAACTGGAATCGTCTACAAAGAACATGTTGAAATTGAGAATTTGCGGTGCTTTCGTGGTAATTAAATTTTCCCTCATAAGACATCCTTCACCGACTTTCCTAAAGAAGGGAGACGTCTGTTTAGAACAAGTACTTGATGCGCGCTCTCCGACTCACAAATCATGTGTTAGTTATTGGTGTGTGTTATCTCGATTTAAGATAATTTTATGCCGTTTCCTTTTTATTTGCCTAATATCAGACCAGTTCGCCTTCGACTTTAACCGCCAGGCACTTTTTCTTCCGAGGTTTAAGTCAAGTAATTTATCACATATTCCGTGACTTAATTGATATTAGCTTGCGGAAGTTGGATCACAGTAAAACTCCCGTTTGCTCCTCAAAGCAGCTTATCCGGAAGTATGGACTTACGTACGCGCATTTCCATAACTTGCACCTATTATTTGGATTTACTTAAGCCGTAGGTCCAAAATGTGGCAGTTATCTTGAAACCCAAAGAGGCGACTAAATGTTCATTTAATTTCACTTGGTACTCCTATTAAAGTTTATCGACTGACCTGACCTGTTTCCATGGTGATAGGTGGTTGTCAAGTGTCACTTACTTTAATTTCGACAAAAATTCGACCTGCGGGCGAGAAGGCGTCATCACAAAGTCAAAGGTAGGTTGAATGGGTTGTATAGAGTAAAAAAAATAGGACTCCAGAACTCACCAACTGGCCTTCGCATTTGCGTCGTTTTGCAAAGTGCCTTCCAGACTGACAATTTTATTTAAAATTCACCTTTGTTTCTACCGAGCATAAAGATTTAAATCAAACCTTTATGACCCAGTTTCCTTCGCTGAAAGCCGCCGTGTATAGGTTAGGACTGCATATAAGACAATTGATGTACCGTCGTAAGCTGAGATGAGCACACCGTTGCATATCGACGCCTGTGAGCATCGTCGCTTTTTCATCCTCCTTTTACTTGATTTTTCTTACTACTACACTTTTTAAAGTTAGCAGAGCGCTGCATCGTTTGACATCGCGTTCCCCTGAATATTCAGTTTACTACTCTGTTTTATAAATCGCTCTGTGAGGAGGAAACGATAAGGTTTTGTTATATTCATCTGTCCTCTGCCCTAGATTTTTTAAGCTGTGAATTTTACAGTATACCTAAAGCATTACAAGATGCATCGGACCTGCCTGGCTGTTATTGATTCCAAGGGAGAGGTTCCACAGACTCCTTCGCTAATACATGACGACCAGGCTGCATGAAGGAATGCCTGAATTTAGGAACTCCTGTCTCAGTCAGGAGTATCTCTATTCTCTGACGGACAGCTGAGAGCAATGCAATTTTTTTCGCAAGACCCCCCTCGTTGTCAGAAATCGTATTAGCCGCAGGACCCGGGAATATATACTTGCCCATTATTTAAGTGGCCTTTCGCTAACTCCCTGTGAGCTCAGAGTGAGGGTCAGTGTTAAGCTAGCGACACAGCAATAGGTGAGGTTATTGCTGTCTAACGCAAGTTCACCTGCACTACGCGGGTGGGAGTCCTTATTTCCATGTCTTACCGTACTAGCAAGTGTGGGTCGTTTGGGTTATAATGTAATTTGCTTCTTCTAGTGCTCTGTGTGATTTCTGTTCCTGTAAAGTTCCTTTAGCCTCCAGCTGACCGGAACTCGTTGAGCTCATGTTCATGAAATGACGGACTTTTTAATATACGCAGCACAATGAAAGCTCTGGTTGCTTTGAGTAAGGCACACAGCGAAATAAAAGTCTCTTCGAGAGAAAGGCCTAAAAAGCCGGCAAAAGACGGCACCGAGCTAAATAAAATTATGCAATGTGCCTCTCACGTATGTCATCATGACATCTGTTCCATCTACTGTATATTAGATGCGCTTTACGTATTGTGGAATGGAATATGTGGTCGTTAAATCAGCCTTTATTGCTGTCTAGAGAGGAATGATTATTTATGGTTTTACAATTCCTAAAAGCCTATTTACCGTGGCGCAACACAACTCAAGATCAGACGCAGTGCGGTTGTATTTCATTTATTCTTTTTAACTTACTATGCCGGTTAGTATAATTAAAACTAAAGGCTCTTGACTCTAGTCAGAGGAATGAATAACTTTTGGTATTAAAAATCTGGACTTTTAAAGCCTCAAATTTGCTGGGATGATATAAAGCTATAAAAAGGAGTTGACAAATCGAAAAAGTTGTTTGCATATGGGAATGTTGATTTTTATATTTGTTTCAACTGTTTGCCACGAATTTGAGTTCTTAAACTTACCTGGCTACATATCCAGAGGCTTGACTGCCAACAACACGGAAAATCTCAAAATCTTATTTTTGTAAATTCTACAGCGGCCTGTTGAGCTTTATATTATGCAAGGTCCTATCCATAGCCCCTGCTACTACCGGAGACATATTTGACGCAGAGGATACCTCACATGTGCTCAACCTTCCCACGCACTTGACCATAAGCAGCCTACTTCTGTTTCTGTCGCCTAGATAACCGTGTGCTTATTTCCGTCTGCCAATCACGCATTATCGCCTTCTTCGTTGTGCAGTTCCAAAACGATTTTGTCAATGAAAAAAGCCCTCAATATGCTCTCACCTTCAACAGCTGGTGGGGGCAAAACATATGCCCCCGGTTTCACTCATATTTAATTTTTTTCCTTCCCTGGAATCATAAGCCAACGAAAGCTGCCCGCGCTGAGATAGCTGTTCTGAGATCTTCTGAAATTAAATCGTTTACCCATAAAGATAGAGGTTGTGTGACCTTAATTGTTCTACAACAGTCGGTACAGAAGGTGCGAACTGGGCCAAAAAGGGGGGTATCAGTTGGACTCAGTTCACTCCTTCAAAGAACTGTGCTGAGCCTATTTACGCCGAGCCGTTGACATAAACTAGCGCGCTAGACGCTGGGCCCGGTCTCGCCAGTTCGACCGTCGTTGCCGACGATGTCCACCGTTTGCTCCGTTGCAATGTAAAGGCATGCACGCTGATTCGCGCGTAAATTAGTGTATAGTGAGAGTGGACTTGTACAGCATCCATCGCACCATCTCCTTCCCCGCCTGTTCTCGGTGTCAACGCATAGTCAAACAGACCGAAGGCGGGAGAGGGCACAAGTGGCTTGCACGGCTGTACCCGCACACAGGGGTGCCACCATCCCCCCTGGCTCTCAACAAACACTTGGCCAGGATTCTAACCATCAACAAAAATGGGCCTGAAAGAGCAGGATGACGTGAGTCAGTGGGCAACCGTGCACACGACCCGTATGGCCAGCGGGAGCGCAAAGGCTTCTCCAGCAGGGAACCAGGTGCCAGAGAGCTGCCAGCGCACACCAGGCAGCGAGGACCATGATTTTCACAATCACAGCATGACAGACTCACACAAGGCCCTTTTAACAACAGTGGAGGGACGCTCACCGATTGTGCTACAAGATACAGTCGTAGTGAGAGTAGATTTATACAGCATCTACCGCACTCTTCCATTCCCCTCCCATGTGGGGTCGGTTTGAAGACATAGTCAAGAAGACCTAAGACGGGAGAGGTTGCCGGTAGCTGGCACGGCCGGACACCCTCCTAGACGCGCCAACCCACACCCCTCTGGTCCACATCAAACATTCGACCAGAATTTTAGACGACAACAAAATCAACAGGTCAGAAAGAGGAAAGGAAGACACAGGTCATTGGGGAACCATGCATAAGGCCTGTACACCCAATGGGAGCGCAAACGGCGGGGTATCAGTTTCCAGAGAACTGCCACTGTACACCAGACTGCAAGGGCCATGGTTTGATAAGGCGTTGCATAGCATATGCACACAGGGTCTAACCCAAGCACCCGTCGGCTGACAGGCTAGGACAGTCGACTGCTGTATGCGAGTGGAAAAGAGGAGGTTTAGACCGACCCTGAATGACCAGACTCACTAGAACATCAGCGCATTCCTCATTAATGATCAGTCTATCGCGCTCGATGATCTCAAGACGCGTTATGAGTCGTGGTTTGAGGGGTAGTCAACTGACAGGATAGCGCGGTCTTTCTCGGAAGTGAGATCCAGTCTGTTATGACTCCTTCTTACCGTGGCCTTTATGACGCTCCCACACTTGCTAGTTCTAAGGCCTCTTAAAGGAATGGGGTCGTGTACGGCATGCGTAGACAACCTGTTTGGCCAGTGCGGCCATCTTGGTAGTGTTTTGCTTTTGGAGCCAGGTGGGCAGATGCGAAGAGAGTGCGTTAGGTGCGACGCAAGTCCACCGCACTGTATGGGTCTTCCCTCTGACTCCGTTAAAAATGTGATGGACGTCTTCGATTGAGTTGATTCACACTAAAACGATATTAACGCCACCCGCATACCCTAGAGCAGTCTGCCTACGCCAATCCAACTGAACATTTGTTCAGACTTGACTTGCAAACTGGGTTTTCCAAGGGACGAAATGTCGAACGATTCCCAGTGCTGAGAGATGAACTGATATGTTTGAATTCGGGCGGTTGACAATTTGATATTTTCTGTGGGATGGGAAGTTCGAAACTTTCTGTACTTTTTATTTGGCACGTGTGTTGTCTAAATGGATCCCATTTGTAACTAACACTCCATTTATGATTTAACACTGAGAGAATTCAAATGAGCATGTTCTATGTATTCGCTTCCGGCGTTTACCGCGCTTACATCGATATTCTTCCGCGTTGAATGCTCTTCATCCCGTTGGGATTAGTTGCAATTTATATCGTATGCTTCCTGTAATGTCCTGAGCACAACCGAGATCATTATTTTGCCGGCAAAACTTTGGAAAATTGGAGATAAACGAACACAATACGTCTAGTCCCGAATATACCCTCAGCTTCGACAAACCGTTTAAAAGTTAACAATGCAAAGACGCGGTATGCGACCCATTCAGGGGACAAAAACCAGGTCATCATGCAGTACGAGTTTTATGAGTAGGGCTACACCGCGAGAAGAAGGGCATCCTCGCGACAAATTTCTCTACGACTATCAGTCTGAATAACTCATGTATTAGGAACCCGATCCTTGAAGAATGATAACAGTGCAATCAAAAGTCCAGAAGTCTTCGCAGTTTTTCCAAGTTATTTTCACAGAAGAATTCGATTGCATTCCATCCATTTGCGAGGTTGCGCAGACGTCATTTACTAAAGGGGCGAGGATGCAGTATGCCACGATGATCTAGGTTTTGTCGCTTGAATGGGGTCTCATACTGCGTCCTTGTCCCGTGGACAATATGAATACGTCGGAAAATGTTGCTCGGACTCCTGTAAAACCCTCTTTTGACAAAACGTTAATCCCTCCGCGAGGCTGTTATACTCCTCTGCGACCCCGATCACAATTTTGTCTTTGACGGCCACCGAACGGACGAGTCAACAAGACGTTTAGTCTTCGATCATTGGTTAACACCAGACTGCGACCAGAATCGATTGATTTTGACGTTTTTTGGAAGCGCATATGACTGTACAATTGCGAGAGGTCCTCGAAAACAGCCCGGGTATTATAGTCACCGATTCGTCTGATTTTCTCCGAGAATTATCGTAGCCGGGCAACAAGGCCACTAGTATCGCCAGCTCTGGCTAAGTTGCCGTCAGTAGGCACTTAATTTTTCCAGCTGTATGATGCAACAAACAATTACGTGTTTCAAAAACAGAGGTTCGGGGCATCAGCGACCTTGGTAATCCACTAAAGCCACTTGAGCGGGAGAACATTTAATTTTGCATTGAGTGTGTTGATGGGATTAGGAACTTTTTTTCAGTCACCCTAACACGCTCCCTGTTAAATTCTGTTCTCGTTGCTTTACCTGCAAAATAAGTAGCACACAGGTGTCGCATGGAGCCCTTGCATGTTATGCCTATCGGAATTTTGCAAGCGAATAGTGTTGTTAGAGCTCACATCAAGTACAGTAGGTAGGCTAATTCATGAAATGTCAACGGTAATTCCAAAGTGCGTGTTCATTTCGAAACGATTAATTAAATAGCGTTGTAAAAATGGTCATCAAGCAGCATAATTCTATAACAAATCAGTTACCTCAAAATGTCTGCTATCGAATGAACGTCTTTCCGGATGCAAGCCAAAAATAAACTGTGTTAAAAATGACTACCAAAGTAGCATTAAATTTTCCCATTAATTTTTCGATAACCTTGAAAATTCAATTATATTTCAAGGTAAACGTGCATAAAAAAATAAAGTTCTTTTGTTCATTCAGTAGAAAATTACATCTTTCAGTTTTATACTCGCAGGAGGGACATAATTCGGTTTCAGAATAGTTTTTAACTGTGGGATTGTTTAATACTGTGAAGTGGCCGTTCATAAAACTTCATGTCTGTGCATTTACCAATGTGGCTTGTAAAGTTAGCAACACGGCTTAAATCCACTGCTACATGTTATGGCGCCCACATAATCTCCTCTTAATGCTGTAAAGAAATATATGGTTTCCCGTACGCGGAAAATATATAGTTTGTAGTTTGGAAACTCTGAATGCAAGTATAACGGCAGGTCGATTTAAAAGTTTTCGGACAGTAGAAAAGTTTTTAAAATTCGAATTAACAGCAGAAGAATTAATATTTTTATGCATGCTTTCCATTAAAAATATGGTTGAATATTTAATGAAATCAAAAATCTATGAGAAAATTACATGCTAATTGATTAGTCATTTCTTCAGAGTAATGTTTTTCTATGCAGCTGAAAAGGCGTTCTTTCGAAAACGAAATCCTAAGGCAACGGATCTATTATTAAATTATGCTGCATGATAATCAGCTTAACAACACTATTTAATTAATCTTTTAAAAACAAAAACGCATTTCGGAATTTCGTTTGACAATTCTTGAGTTAGTTCACCAACTATACTAGCGCAAATTGCGTTTTCGTTCACGTTCCATAAACATCGCGGCTGGATTGTCACGAAGTCACTCCGTGAATAATGTGCTTAATGTATGCCAGTTATTGTCATGGCTGCCCTACAGAACTCTCTATCTAGTGTACATCCATTACCGCTTTAAATGCCGACACTTGACAGTCGTTAGTTACGTCATCTGCTCCACTGGGTCGCTAGAGGTTAATTAAATTTACAGGTAATTCACATGTGTTCGAAATTGCCTGTACGTGAAAGGTGGCCGCTTTACGACGTGTTCAAATGCGTCTACTAAGTGCCTGGCCTACTTAAAAAGCTCCATCATCCTGTCTTAAAATGGCTCCCTATGATAACGATGCAGTAGCCATCCGCTATGCCCCCACCTGTTGTCGTAATAATCGCTTTGTAGATTTGCATTGCTGATCTGATTACCAGGAGGAGGTGAAGGCTTCGCGGAATCCCAAGCGGGTCCATTTGGGCAGCATTTCTGAACTGAATTCCCATGGCTATTAACTTACCGTAGGCTAGTTTTTTTCCATGTGAACGGCGCCTTATGTACCAACTGCTGTTCGTGAACAGAAACTTGATTAGCTTCCTGTTCGATTTGAGGACTGCTCAGCCACCTTTCGCCGAAAGATCACGAGGGTCTATGAGCTGCTCTCACAACTGTGTGTAAGATGAAACCGTGCGCCGGAATATCCATATGTTTGCACAACATTAGTCAAATGGCGTTTCAGATTGGCAAAGTTGAGAAATCCGGGAAGATTATTAGAAGAAGAAAATAAGCTCTCAGGAACAGGTTTATTTAAGTGCTGACGTTTCAAAGACCTGGGTCGGCTCTTCACTGTCAAAGCGTAAACTGCACTTAATCGATCAGAAATTTAATTTAAAGTGGCAAGTTCTGTTGGCCGGCCTCATGCTGATCGATTTTTTCCACTCCTCCCGTTCCGTCGGCCTCTCGGGAAATGGTTGACGGGCGTTTGGCCTGTGTGCTTTATGAGTCAGCACTCTGTCGTGGGGAGCTGATTGGACTTTAGTCGGGCGGTCGGTCTGGCGTTTCAGCATGCCCGCAGGTAATATTGCATTTATCGGCGCATAACTGGCTGTTTTAGGTTTACTGCGTTTAGGTGAAAGATCATAAAATACACAAAGTGATTTGGAGTCTACTTTATCTACAAAAATAGGGCCTTGAAACTGTGGTCCGCAGTTGTGCGCCCCTGTAACGCGCCACGAGGGAGTTACGTTGAACCAACACGACGGCCGTTTCAGGATACAACACGTGTTATTGTGCTGCCCATTCATATTAAATGCCATGCATGGTGTTGTAGAAGGACGCCTGTGCGCAGACCCACGTCGCGCCGATCACTTGCACCCTTTCCGCCTCCTGGTATCATTGGCTCTAACTTGATACCAGGCTTAGGTGTATGAGGAAGGAGCGCCTGCGATAGATTCAGCGCAAGTCTACCGGAACTACTTCACGCACAAGTCACCGTTTCTGCGCCTGCAATGCTATGGGCCGCACCTTGGCCATTAACGGTAAGAACGATCGAACTATAGACCTGCAGATGTCTTCTCAAAGGGACAAGCAGCTATCTGTGGCCCGTTATGCATACTGCTGGTATCGGATGAGTTTAAATATCTCCAAGTGCTACGGCGGTATCTGAAAATAAGCAAACAACTTTGTACGAAGATACGCCGTAAGAACGGTGATAAGAAGGTTTTCAAATTTCGTGTATGATGAAATGAAACCGGAAGCAGTCACACACAGAAAACGACCTTCAATTCCTACGGGGGACCTCCTTGAGGAACTGGTGGAGACTAATCCGTGAAGGATACGTTCAGATTTTTCAGAACTGGGCATTTCGAATTATTCCGTGCGGACTCATTTACATGCGATGGAGTGTCAAAAACAAAAATTTGTTAGTCGGGGCCTTCCGATTTGGTTGTGTATCATATGATGTCACGTTTGAGCGTGTGCTCCTAGTGCAATTGTAAAACAAAAATATCCCTTTTGTAGCATAGAATGACACCTTCAAAAGAGCGCAGATTTCGTTTAATAAGACCCAAACCGTTACTTTGTAGAAGTCAACTGTCTCGATCAGTACCAAAGCCTGTGTAGTGGTCTGCTAGTGAGGTGTCCACGGCAGCTTTTTTAACCTGTGTGTCATTTCGAGGAAGAATAAGTGTGGCATCACGGTGAGGATAACAGAACAAAACCGGTTCAACAGAGTACAAACGAGATCCTTGTGTTAAACTCGCTAGCACCATGTCCTGTCGAGGACCTCATAATGTGAAAAAACAGTTTTCACAGCAGTCTATTCATTATTGTGTGCGAGGTAGACCCCGCTGCCATTTAATTTTCCATGTGACGGTTGCTGCTTGCGGCACTAAATGTGGCATTTGATGCCACACGGATCTCATCGCCAACTATGAGAGCAGATGTTCCTGACATAGGTTTTTCCTTCGCGAAGGTCCACCCAACTCCTCAAGTACTCTCTATAATGTGTGTCTTCGTCCGGCACGGTTTGTTGTACAGCCATCGCTACGAAAGTACGACTTGCGCGCAGTATTGCATAATCATTCTTCACCGGTTTTAACCGACCTTGGTTTCACCCCATGACTGCACTCGCACCTGGTGGCTCTGACTACCGAGCAGGAAAATTAGATCTAGATCTTGACACTGACCTCGGCCTGACATTTTGACAAGTGTTGCTGCATTGTCACGTGCATCACACGTACAGTAGGTAGGCTAATTTATGAAATCTCAAGAGGACTTCCGAAATGCGTTTCCGTTTCGAAAAGATTAATCAAGTAGGGTTGTAAAGGCAATCATTTTTCGGAATAACTCCATAATAATTCAGTTACTCGAAGACGCCGGCTGTCGAACAAACTTCTTTTATCATGCATCCAAAAACCATACTCCGTCAAAAATAGCTAGTTAAGTAGCAGGGGTTTTTTCGTTGATTTTCGGTGCCCTTAAATATTCAATAATATTTCCTAAAAAGCAGGGAGAAAACTATTCATTCTTTCCCTGCTTTAGTTAAGAATTACGCCTTTTTTTCAATTTTGCTTACCAAGAATAGGGTATAATTTGGTTTTAAAAAAATTTCCACTTTTGAGATTTTTTAATATCGTGAAATGGTCCTTCATAAAACTCCATGCCGTTGCATTTCCCGATGTGGTTTGTAAAGGTTACAATTGGGCTCAAATCCACTGCTTAATTTTGTGAACCCTATATGATCCCCCTCTTATGACCATAGAGAAATGTATGGTTTTACGTACGCAGAACTTAAACGGCTTGATGTTTAAGAACCCTGAGTGCAAGTGTAACGGCAGGCGGGGTTCAACATTATTCGGGAATTAAAAAAGAAATTCATAAAACCAAATTATACCCTTCCTTCGAGTTTAACATTGAAAGAAGACGTAATTTTCTACGGAATCAGCTAAAGAATGAATGCTTTTATGCATGATTTCGACGAGCTCTAATTGAATCCTTTAGAGCATCGAAAATCAATGACAAAATGCATGCTACTTTAGTAGTCATTTTTACGGAATAAGGTTTTTGGATACAGCCAAAAGAAGTTTGTTTGAACGTCGGCATTCTGAGATAACTGAATTATTATAGAAATATGCTACACAGTGATTGGCTTTACAATCCTTCTTAATTAATCTTTTCGAAACGCAAACGCTTTGCGGAATTCCTGTTGAGATTCCTCGAGCTAGCCCACTTACTGTAGGTCAGTGCAGATTTTGACGCCTTAAGAAGCCGTTTTGGTGTGAAGCAGTTCCTCGAACTATGACCTCAACGACACCAGGTTCGGGATGGGGCCTGGTTTTCCTCACGTAAATTAACGCGTACGATGTTGAGGTCAAGTTCTACTCAAAAGTCAAAGGAACTGCATACTCCTGCGGGCACGTATTTCCAAGATTACGGTTCGTCAGGCGGCGGGTATTTTGCCCCAAGTGTGATAAAACTCGAGTCGTCCGGCGGGGACCTCGTAGCTCAGGTGGTTAGGACGTTGGCTGCGCTAAAGCCTTCCCCTCTCTGCGCGGGTTCGAATCCCACCGAGGCGTCGAGTTTTTCACAGTTGTGTCAATATGAATTATTCAAAATCTGCCAAAATATGAATGAATTGCTTTAAACGTTTTGCAGCATTACGAATGCTGGACGGCAGAGCTGGACGGGAGAGCGAACGTGCGGTTAATTCGTGTTACCCATTCGCGTGCCATATTTTACTCCGGCCTTTTATCTTGCTGGCGGTTAGGTGTCCATCGTTCGATGTCTTTTAGCATTACTTAATTTTCACGCATGCTGTAACATTCTTTAATGGTTTATTCAAGTCAGAATAGGTTTAGATGTCTGCCTGTTTGTCATTTGACTGCTTTATGGAACCTGTATTTCAGAGTCGCACGTCGTTGCCTATGCTTTCCACAGCAGTATGGTTGGCGCATCAAGGTCGACTTGTGCGCGAAGTAGTTTATAGTGATAACGGATCTACGTTGCATCTACAGCACTTTCTCATTCCTCATCCCCCCGAATCTCGTTCAGGTGACTGGAGACAGGAGAGGGTACAGCCGACTGACACGATATGGGCCCGCGCCTAGGCATGCCACACCACATTGTGTTGCATTTGCTATGGGTGCACGGCCAAATAACCCGTGTCGCTCTTCGACCTGGCCCCCCTGTTGGTTCGGCCCATCTACCACGTGGCATGTTGTAGAGGAACAGGCAATTGGGCACACTGATTAAACACTAACAGTTTCAACAGAGCTAAAACAAGATTTTTGCGCTAAACGCGCTACGAAAGTACGACTTGCGCGCAGTATTGCATAATCATTCTTCACCGGTTTTAACCGACCTTGGTTTCACCCCATGACTGCACTCGCACCTGGTGGCTCTGACTACCGAGCAGGAAAATTAGATCTAGATCTTGACACTGACCTCGGCCTGACATTTTGACAAGTGTTGCTGCATTGTCACGTGCATCACACGTACAGTAGGTAGGCTAATTTATGAAATCTCAAGAGGACTTCCGAAATGCGTTTCCGTTTCGAAAAGATTAATCAAGTAGCGTTGTAAAACCAATCGTTGCGCAGCACAATTCTATAATAATTTCATTACCCCAGGACGCCGGCTTTCGAAAAAGCGTCTTTTCTGATGGGTCGAGAAACCATTCTCCGTAAAAAATGGCTGCTTAAGTGGGAAGCATTTTTAATTTATTTTCGGTGCCCTTAAATATTCAATTATATTTCATGGAAGACATGCATAAAAATACTCATTCTTTTGTTATTTTAGTAGAAAAATTACGCCTTCTTTCTATTTAATAATCTAAGGAATGGAATATTTCGATTTCGAAAAAATTTATGATTGTGAGATTTTTTTAATATCATGAACTGACCCCTCAGAAATCCTCGCGTCCCTGCATTTACCAATGTGATTTATAAAGGGGTAACAATCGGGAGATGGCACCCAAAAAATCCCTTACCTATAAATAATACCTTTAACAGTGGAATTGAACGCCTTCAGGCTATATCAGTGGTTGCACGCCTGCTTTCACGCACTACTTGGAATTTCCGCGACGGCCTTACATGGGCTGGCCGAACGAACATCGCAGGAGGTTACATAGAAGATGGTCGCTGTTACCCAACCTTCCCCATCGTTACACACGTACACCTGAATATACGGCATACATTCGCATTATGGCAGTTTATTGTAAAATAAAATCCCTTTTAAATATGATAAGTCTGCACAACATGGGACAGGAACAGTTCCTAGGCATCTGTCAAAGACATTGCTTCGAGGCCAAACCAAAGGCGATACTGTACTTCGCCTATGTGAGTCCACACAGCTCGACCACATACAGGGCCTCCCTCGTGGAGTTTCCTTTTCAGTCTACTCCACTATGTCTCAATGGCATTGGTGTGCCGTCCGGTCGTAGGGTCCTTGAAGTCCTTTGAGTGGTTAACAGAGAAATGTAGATAACCTTCTGAGGGAAGACGATTATACGCCTTACACTCGTTCGTTACCACTATACTGCCTTTGGCGACCCATTTTGTAATAACGGAATGGAGAGCGGGCCAACTTCGATCATTCCCCTGTCCAACTAAGCCTTTCCGTCGGCTAGTATCGTACATCCCGACCAGCCACCACACATAAAACCCCTATTACCACCTGTCCCGTAAGATAGGCTTCTGTGGTTAGACGGACGTTTTTGGGTGCCATCTCCCGATTGTTACCGAAACCATGAACAAAATATGCTTTCTTTCAGTTGTTCGATAGAAAATCACGTTTTCTTTATGTTTTATAGTCGAAGAAGTTGTACATTTATGCTTTGAAAAAGATTCCTGATTCCCGAATAATTTGGAACCTGATCAGTCCTTACATTAGCTCTTAGTGGTTTCAGTATACAAGGTGTATGCTGTTCGCGTAAAGAAAATCACATATTCCTCTATCTCTTTAAAAAGATACCAAACAGAGTCCATAAAATGTCGCAATGGATGTGGCCTATGTTATGCATTTAATGAGGAACTGTGGTAGACGGCCAGGTACGATGCCAGGTGAATGGACATTGCGTGGTCTTAAAAAATCTGATAATTTGAAAGTTTTTAAAAAATAATTATACTCCTTCTTAGAGTAAAGAATATGAAGAAGCCATGAGTCTTTTTCAAGCGAATGAAAGAAAGCATATTTTTTGGTTTCTATAAAATATATATAAATTTGAAAAACCATCGAAACTTAACGGGGAAAATTCATGCTAAATAAGTTCTCATTTTTTACCTAATATGGATTCTACGGGAGATTGAAAAGCAGTCTATTCAAATGTTGAAATCCTGCCGAGTCCAATATATTATAGGATTATGCCGCACGATAGTCAGCATTATAACCGCGCCTGAGTAATCCTTCCTAACCGAAAACGCATTTGAGTATGCCAGCCGACATTTCAAGAGATCAGCCACTCGTTGTTAAATTAAGCCGGCTTCTTGAAGAACGAGACACAATTGTTGGGACAAGAACTTTATTAGCCCAACGTTTCGGATTCCTGCCCGAATCCGTCATCAGAGACAACAGCAAATACGGGTGCTTCACACGCAAGGGGCTGCAGTATTTATAAGATGCAGTTGTCATGCCACCGCATACATATGAGCATTCACGGCTGCCCCTTCATCAGGGATCTTTGCACACCAAGTGCAACGATGCAGTTTACTCGCCGAACCTACTGCAATGTCTGGAATCCACCAAATCTGATACAGTAAGTTGACTGCAGGACCCCGAAGCTCAGGTGGTTAGAGCGGTGGCTGTACTAAAGCCTCTACCTTACCGTCGTGCGTTAAAATCCTACCGAGGCGCTGAGTTTTTCGCAGTTGGGTCAGTATGAATTATCCACAATCTGCCAAAACATCTCTCCGTTTTGTTGACTTAAGCAACGAAGACGAATCTCTCCTATCATTCGTCTGGTCAATGAAATATTACGAAAATTTGAAAAAAATTTTTGTGAATCGCAGAACAACGGTATGTGCATATGGCCCATGAGTACGGTGGCATTACCAACTATGCGATTGTTTCTTCACTTGCACCATTGCCCTATTCAAGAGGGCATGAACATCCTGTGGATTTCCGAAATCCCCGGTAAGCGTATTTTTCTTTCACTCACTGAAGAATGCAGTCATTTTCATTTCAACTAACTAAAACATATCATGCTACTAACGCTCAGAAACTTTAAATTTTGATCCAAAATGTACCTTATTTGTTTGCTGAGATGAAAAGGTAAGTCTTCAGCGGAACTTTAGAATTAAGATTCACTTAGACTTCCAACTAACCGATAACACCTCTTCACATCGGCTGTACTTTTTTCTGCTTTTAGCTTCCGTTTCGACGAGCCGTCTCCCGAGTGTAATCCGTCTCGGTAGCTCCAGTGACGTCACAAACGAACCCCGCCAGTATGACCTCCTCAACACGGACTCGGAAGATGAGGTGGCAAGCACTACAGATCAGGAGGCGAACGAGGTCTCCGGTGAGGAAGTGCTTGATCAGCGTTTGTTCGAGCCTGACGAGCGCTACCACCATCTACGACAACCAGGTGATGAGTCTGAGGGCACAGAGGGCGGCGCAGAGACTGTCCAAGGGGCTGCGGTCTCTTTCGGCATTGATGGATATGCGACGTCACGCAGAGAAAATGACTCCCTTCAGCCTGTGAACGGCAGTCGGGGTGAGATGGGAGCTGTTGACGATGCTATTCTCGCCAGTCCAGAGACCGGTAGCCTTCTGGCTGGGCTGTCTTTAAACGGGATGACTAGTACAGTCGGCTCTGGCGCTGCCCTATCCTCTGACCTGTCAACCGTTGGGCGCCCGCTCCATCGCATGTTTCCCGCAAATCGCCTTGAAGTTGGCGAGGAGGCGACACGCCTGAGGGCTAACCGTTCCAGTTACCCGCCTCAGCTGCCCGACCACAGGGGTCGTGCTACAGCGATTCATCTTGGCCGTCGACACCCTCCACCGACTTCGCATTGGAACCGTAGCAGCCGTCTGGCGCAACTGACTGCCGCGGCAGCAACCGCAACTCCGACATCCCGCTCTAGCGTCTCCAGCGCGGCGACAACGCCACGTGATGGTCACTTTGGCCCTTATTTACACACGCATCAGCAACACCAGCGCTCAGTGTCAGGTAACCTCGCCACAACAGTCAACGCAAGCACGGTGGCAGTTGAGTCGCTTCCCTTTTCAACGGCATCACCGGAGGGCTGGGTAATCGCTCCGAGATCGAATGTCGCAATGAATGGCGATCATGTGAACCGCTTTGATGACAGCCCTCGTGCACCCATGCTGCCAGTTTTTCCTCACTCCAGCTCAACCTCGAGCGAGGCCGAAGATGACATTGGTGATGGCTGTTCCCCCGATCCCCACGGATGGAGGGTGAGTCATTCCCCTCCATTTAAAGGGCACTATATCGATGGGCACGGGGCGAAGCTAATAAATTTCACCTTATTAACTAGAGTGAGAGAGAGAAAGAGAGAAGGCGAGTTTGCGATGTCGGTACCATACAGTTGAACCTGATTTACGGCTGTCCGTATTTTTGATTTTCCTGACCCACGAAATTACAATAGGTTGACCAACTCATGAAAAGTCAACCGAAATTTCGAAATGGCTTCTCGATTCGGAAAGATTAATTAAGTGTGGTTGTAAAACTAATCATCATACAGCATAATTCTATAATGATCCAGTGTGGGCAGGGTGCTGACTTTCTGACTGCATGTGAGAACCATGCTCAGCAAAAAATAACTACTTAAATAGCATGCAATTTTCTCATTGAATTTAGATGCCCATAAAAATTCAATTATATTTCTTCGAAAACATGCATAGGAATATTCATTCTTTTATTTATTCAGTAGAAAACCACGTAGTCTTCCAATTTATACTCGAAATAAGAATATAATTCGGCTTTAAAAAACTTTTCTAATTCCCGAATAATTGCGAACGCAGCCTGCTATTATACTTGCATTCAGGGTTTCAAAACTACAAGGCGTATATTTTCCGTGGTCGGAAAACCATAAATTTCTCTACGATATTAAAAGGTGATTATATGTTGTTCATAAAATAAGCAGTCGATTTGGGCAACATCGTTCACTTTACAATCCATTTTGCTAAATTCAGATACATGACGCTTTATGTACGTCCATTTCGCGGTATTAAAAATCTCACAATAAGAAATATTTTTGAAGCCGAATTGTACTCCTCCTATGAGTATTTAATTGTAAGCAGACGTGATTTTCGACTAAATAGACAAAAGAACGAATACTTTTATGTGTTTTTTTCATGAAATATAATTGAACATTCAAGGACATCAAAAATCAATGAGGAAATCGCATGCTACATAAGTAGTCATTTTTTCAGAGTAAATTCTTGGATGCAGTCGGAAATATGTTCCTTCTAAAGAAGGCACCATTAGGTAGCTGGATCATTTTAGAATTATGCAAGAAGATGATTAGTTTTCCAAGCATACTTAATTAATATTTTCGAAACGAGAACGCATTTTGAAATTTAAGCCGACATTTTTTGAGTTAGCCCACTTACTGTAGTATATGTATCCAAATAAGAAAGACAGCATTGTTGGATGTTGGCCTTAAAGGGAAGAACAGTTTGAAACTTTATCAACCGCGCATTGTGTCAATAACAAAAAAAACGGGCATCTCAGAAATCTTGGTGATGCCTACGCAACGGCAAACCATACCTGCAGTCCTATCGCGTCTACCAGGGGTCGCCTAAATCACATGTGAATAGGAGTCTCAAAAAGTTATTTTGGAGCAACATTTAACCGTTGCGTGTGACCCTTTTGATCTCATTTTGTAATGCGCTTCTATTCTCAACTGCAACCATCAACTCAGATACGATCTGTGGGTTAGCAGTTCGCTAGTGAGTGCTAGCGAACTTGAGAAAAGCGAACGTATAGCGTGCGACTATCAGCTAAGTTTGCCGTCTGTTGTCACTTTTGGTTTCGAAAACAAAACATCCAATTTTATCGCATCATGAAATCTTATGCTTCTAAACTTGTGGTGGGATTTTCTTAATAACCTGCTACTATACGACGTCTACTAACATAGAAAATTTGTTTACTTGTTATTTTTTAATTTACTAATTTTTCTATAGACCTAAAATATGCTGATCTACTCCAAGTTCGCAGTTAAGTTCTAAGGAAATTCGAAGGCAACAATTTCTCAATTGGACTATCTACCAGCAGACAGACAGGTAGTCTGGGGGACCCACTGACAAGCTGAACCCCTCGCAGCTGTGTCATACAGAGGCAGTGCATCGATGAAACACGCTTGTATGGGCTTTTAGCTAGTACCTGTGCTGTTAATATGGAATCACTTTAACCTTATGTGTGTACTGCTGTATTTTGTAAAAGAAATTATACTTGGTGTTCAAACGCCCTGAAAAAACCGGCCCTATACTGTCGTCAGTAATTCCACTTCGTTTGTATTAAAACAAACATCTTTACCAAGTCTGTCTTTGTAAACTTTTGAAAAGAAACTTATGTTCAAAGATGAGAGAGAGACTAAGAAAAACAGCCGTAACGTTAATCAAAGCTAACTTCTCTGCACTTTGAGCAGTACTAAAGCTTAAATGCACGAATTGGTCGAACTGGGGGGAATCAAAGAACCTGGCGGATAAACTGAGGTTTTTACCTGTAAAACAATACCGCTGCATGTAATGCTGTAAAATGAGTTAACCGGTAACCACAAGCTCTCATGGCCCATTTAATGGTGCTCACACAACGACTCCGACAAATAATATTGGAAAATTTGAACAAGCGAAGCATCGAAAATCGCTACAGAGGTCTCTTGCCACTTACCCATCATCTCATGTTCAAAAACAGCCCACAGCCAAACGTTCCACGCATATCTACCGTCGGCCAATCTGTCTGGGTAATTAGGTGGTCAGGCAGGCTTCCCTATCGCCTTGGAGACGCAGACATCCGTATCTATATGCATACCTATTTCGATATGCCCAGATACTCGAGGTCCAGATGTCCTACTGAGTTCATTATCTCCCGAAGAAGAGAGGATGATACTATTGAAGAGAAGATAAGTTCATGTACCAAGTTGTATTTTTACTGAAGTTCCGAAAACCCCCCAGGTTTTACATCAGACTAATGTGCTTATTGTTCCGTCAGCTCTTGAGATGGCCAGCCCTGCGCTTGCCTCGTATTACGGCCGTGCTGGATGCGCGAACTATGGCCTGCCCTTTGTCCATTGACTGGCTCTGACCTCTTTGAGGCTGATAAATGCAGGATTCGCGTGACCTCTATCCCCTTTGGAGTCGGCGTAGTTGTAACCAAGTCGGTATGCATGTTAGCCTCCCGAAAGTCAGACTGATCAGCCGTTGCTGTTCGTGTGAGTTGCTCCCAGCCTCACGGGTGCATCGGTGAGACAGTGTTCGACTTTGGGCGCGTGACCTCTGGCGGCCACATCCCTTCTGTTTCCTGAGCGTCAGCCTATCCTATTGAGTCTGTTCGAACTTTGCGCGTAACGTCTGATAGGCGGGGTGCAGGTCCATAGTTCGGTTGATTAGGCCTGTCGAGGACCAACTTCCGAGGACCAGTCTGGCCATCTTGTCATTGCCTCGGCCTTCGCAAAGGCGAAAATGTGACTCAATTGTTATATGTGGCAGCCAGCAATAGGCGCATCCTCCACTTCCGAAGCAACTCACAAACGTAGTTGTGACAGAACCCTCAACCATCGTGTCTAAACACACTGTGGCAATGAAAGTGAGAGAGAAAGGATTAAGTATCTACACGATCTTCGAGAGCCGAGGACTATCCGAATCTCTTCATGTGCCAGTGCTTCAAAAACCTCATTTTCAGCGATCAAGCGGAGAAAAGTTGTAGTTCTGGCTTTCAGTCCGCCATGTTAAGCACGTTTCGGATGTGACGGCAAGAAACCTAAAACCTTTTGAGATAAGTGGGGCTCATTGACTAAGATGCACCACCTAGTAGCCAATCATGGGCTCCCGAAAACTCGTTATCAGTAACAAAACAATCAACAGTTTTGTACAGCATAACATGCCAAAATTGCAATACGAAATATGTTGGTGAAACGGGCAGACGCCTAGGCACAAGACTGAACGAACACCAAATGGCAATCAATCGCAAGAACAAGCTGTCTTCGGTCTATGGCCGCATACAACAGCCGAGGGTAATCAGCCGAGACCTCTGCCCCGGCATTGGTCCTCAAATGGCACACAGGGATCGGATCAGTTCGAACAGGGCCAATAGGGCCGACGAGCACGTGTAGCCGAGAGCCGGTGCTCACAGAAAATAGGGAAGATGGTGACCGAATGTCACGTCTCCCCAATGCGCCTGCAAGGCTGATAGATCCTCACACAAGTGCCAACGACTGATCAGTGGACTGACTAACGCGTGGGTGGCACGCTAACTTGCCTATAACTACGTCGGCCATAAAGGGGGCAAATGTCTTGGGAGCCCGTCAGTGGGGTGTCCACAGTTATTCAACAGCAAATGGGAAGATTAAAGTTCGTGCGTCTAGCAGCGCTATAATAAGAAACAATTAACAGGAGCAGCGAGCAGAATACTCTGTTAATGCAAACGGTAATGTTTTGGAAACGTCAGCACGAATGCAATTTAATCCGTGAACTCACCCTTTCTCCTTTTTCGTCTTCTTTGGGAGATGATGAACGCGGAATATGCATATATATATATATATATATATATATATATATATATATGATTGAATTCTTTGGAAAAAAATATATGTGCTACTGGGAGAATTTTTGAGAATGTTCCCCTAGCTGGTCGTCGGACTATGCGTAATGTCTAAAAACAACTAACTACTTAACAGTGGCTGACGAAGGATTCTGCTGTTGGCCGAAGCATGCGCCAATGGGCATTATTTGCGTTTCGCCATCTCAGCATTGGTTGAGCTCGCTTCTTTTTGCTGGTTAATGCATGACTTATGCTAACGCATGCCCTCGAGGTCCTCTCGACCTTTATTAAAAGGGCAGACACCGACATTGGAGTTCTCCTTAAAACGACGATGCCTCGTGTTCAGAGAATGCATAGGTACTTGAGACAGGCGGTTTGCTTATTCATTGGCGGTTGATGTTCGTGAAGTGGTCGTTCAGCGCATTTGACTGACATTTCACACGAAAATCGCTTTGCTCCGTCAGTCTGTAAGAAACTTATTTCTGTCCATCGAACGATCAACTTGCTTCCTAACCCATCCCTAGGCGTCCTGCAAGGACTCACGTGCTCGTTTCAAGTATGTTCTTGAGTCAGAACTCTTCGCCGACGTCTGCTTCCTCGTTGGCGCCGCGCCCAGATCGGCCAATACCGTCTCCAATCGACCCTCACGAGTTCCAACACTCTCTCGGCAGCCAACGTTCTCTAACGAGACAGATGATCGCAAACAACGTATGATCTCCTCCATGATTGCCCAGGTCTCGGGCTCCGTGTCGCGTGGACAAGCCAGTCCTCCCAATGGCGCTGTCGAGGCCCCAGTTGACGAACCGACCGCAGCTGAGAAGGCAAAACGCCTTACAGAACTCCTGCTTGCCATGAATATGGAGCAGTCAACTGCGAGTGAGGGCATGCTTCGGCCCTCCGAAGTCTCCCTCGATCCCTCCCCCTCCTCAACCCCTTCCTCCTCTGCGCCCACCTCTTCATCCCTTACGGAGAACGAAGATCAACCGTCTGTTGCGGTCATGTGTGACATGACCGATACATCCGACATTGACTCAGACGAACGCCCAGTGGACACCGTCTCCATCTGCACTCAAACCCGTTCGGGTGCACTCATCTATCGTCAGATTCCGAAGACCCAAGCAAGTGGGCCTGCCGAGGGCTCCGAGGCGACAGCGGCAGCGACGGCGGCGGTGGCGACCGTAGAAACAGCTGCTGTTGGGTCGACTTTGTCGTCTTCCACGGTGGTAAGGGCTGATGAGGTGATAGATGGGCTAACAAAAAAGTCCGCCGCTCGTCCAGAAAGTCCAGACTCCACTTCACGGATGGATTTTCGGGAGGGCGATCAGCTCCAGCTGCAGCAGCAGCAGCAACCCACACGGTTTTCTGCCCACCGTCTCATCCTCGCGCTGGCCTCACCCGTCTTCGAGGCTATGTTCTTTGGTCTCTTTACGGAGAACATGGCGTGCAATCGACGCTCTGCCGCCGCTGATGGTGGCAATACTACGAGCAATGGCTTCGGCGGTTCTTTGCCCAACAGGAGCAATATGCTGGAGCTCTGCATCTCAGACGTGACTCCAAAGGTGAGTATCAAAATCGCATCTGTACTCTATTCCGCGCTCCCTGCATAATCAACACGATAGGAAACCAGACGCCAAGATATTGCTTATTCTGACTTACCTATTTTCCACATAGGAAATTTAGCTGTTAACAGTGGATTTCTTCTGGCATTATAAAGGAAACGCTTGTTCCCTAATGGTATAACAGTTGAACCTTACACAGAAATTCAGAGTTTCAAGGTTTTGGGGCAGTCATTAGCTCAAGACCACATGGAATCCGCTTGTTTGCTTATTCTGCATCGTCCTATGTGTTGGGACCTCAGGTCTCCGGCATGTTTCCGCTCACTGGTACCATTGCCTTTTTCAACCACTATCCTCAAGATGCCCTTGGCTTCGTGGATTTAAATTCCACCGAAACCATCGAGTTTCGTACAATCTAAATAGCTGCATCATTCCAGTCTGTCTAAGAATACCTACTATGAAAATGAGTCTAGTAGTCATGTGGTAGGTTCTAAATTGATTGGTTAGGCAGTGCTGCGTACTGTCTCATGGTTTGTGGATCGCGTGCATGGGTGGGTAATTTGATCTAAGTGCGATTTACATCCTGGCTGTCAGTCTGGGCCTCGCACTTCAGGTGGTTAGAATGTTGACTGTTTTCAGATCTTGCCCGTGGGTTCAAACCCCGAGTTTTTCAGAAGTGGGTGAACTTAAATGTTCAACTCTGCCTAAAACGCATCTTAACGAAAGGAAACCGCTACTTTTAACCGGTCAGACAGTTGCTCTCTTTAACCCTGCTGTTTGTACCTCAGACTCCATGAAGATTGATAGTTAGGCGTTGTTTTTGCATGAAACATGTCCCGGCCTTGGAACGGTTAAGTGCTCAGGGCGCCAACCCTACTTGGTACCTGATGACGCAGCTTGAACGCCCCCCCCCCCTCACTCGAGTTGGTAATTCTTAAATTCTGATCTACATTCTGAGAATACACCTAGGTCCTTAATCCCGAGAACATGTGCAGGGATCTTTGCCTAGGACAGATCTCGAAAGCAATCACATTTAGGTCTGTCAGAATAGCATAGACTATTCATTTTGACCTAACTGTGAAGCATTCGGTGACCTCAATGGCATTCGAATCCACGACAGAAAGTGGGACGTTTGATTACCGCCCACACGACAACCAATTGAGCCACAGAAGCTGTGAATTTAATCACATTTGAGTCACGCTACGCGTCCAGTCTACCTTAATGTTTGACTAACTCGAAAGTCAGTTCAGTAGGTTCTTCAGAGTGAAAGAGGTACGTATGCGATACGTAGTGACCTTTGATAAATGGACGGCATCAGATTCTGCCCGAATGCAGAAGGATTTAACCGGAGTCGCTGCAGTAACTCGTGTCTGTCATTTGCGCGAAAGCACAGCTGTATATGATGTTCACCTCCCCCCCCACTTTCAGAGATCGTCTCATATTCTTCAGCATTTGTCAACGTGTTCTACCAATAGGGTTTCCTCCAGTGGAACAGCTGAAATAGTCCACGCACATAAAAATGACCTGAGCCAGAAATCTTGACCTTGACACTCAGGCGTATACAGTGGACGCGTACTTTAATAGCTAGAAATTCTGTTGAAAAGTCTAAGGATTTTCTTACTATGCCTTAGCCCCAGCGCGTCGGCCCAGTATTGTAGAGCTTCTGGTTGCTGTTCAACCGTTATCGCTGCTCTATTACTAGTCACGTTGCTCTCACAGGATGTTGTTTGGGGAAATTTAAAAGAATCAGCAAATCTTCAGCCAGCGTTTGCTCTATTTCAAGGGCAGCACAAGTAACAAAAGGACTTAAAAAATTGTTAAGAGTCCAGCTGCATGAAGACGTCTGCTTTCAATTAAAATGAAGACCTCATATAGTCGCGTTAACAACTGATTGAATTGTGTTAGTGACGCTTTCGATGTTGCTCCTTTGTTGTTTTTCGTAACCGTACCTGCAGTGGACAAGCCCCTGCATAACCCTAAACCCCAACTCCTAACGCCTGCCCCCTTAACCCTAACAGGTGCGATTACGAAACAGGGTTTTGCCGCTTCTTTTTTGTCAATAAAGCAAACTCAACCAAACATCGCTGTGCTGTTGTCGAAAGTTACTGTTATTGAAACCCAGTAAAGCAGGTCGCAGGGAACCAATGACGGAGCAGGTTTCTCTCCTTCCACGTGCAGTGGCCTTGAGGGCAGACGGTTTGTTAAGCAACGTGTGGTAAAATTTAATGCCGCCGTTTACAGCCTTAAGGCAGGTGAATGCACCTATGCAGAAATTCATAGAGGTTTTGCTCGTCGATTCTTAGCGCGTAAATATGTCATTTTGTAAAAAAATTAACTGAAATTCTGGAATGGGTTTTTGATTTAAAAAGATTGCTTAAGCTGGATGGTGATATTAATTGACATGCGGGATAATCCCGAGATATTTTAATCCCGATGGGTGCTTGATCTTGGATGAGCGTCTTGCTAGTCGTCTGCGAAAACCTCGCTCCGAAAAAAGGACTACTTGAGTAGTATGACTTTTTCCCGCCGGTGTTCGACGCCTCTACTTATTTAAACATATGTTTTAGAAGCCATGCAGAAAAATCTTCGACTAGCTGGCGAAGCCAGAAAGGGCCATTCCAGTCTCCCTTGTCTTTGTCGGTAATAACATACTGTCTATTTCTATCTATATCTAACGTTATATATAAGGCACGAAAACAAGATGAAAAGTGACACCTTCGAGCTGTGTAGTTCACGCTGGCTCTGTAACGTCAGCATTCAGTGCTTCATTCGATGCACATCACGTCGGAGTGAGAGATCCCGCAGTTGTAGGCCAGCATGTGTGCCCTGTGAGGTTCTGCGATTTAAGATTTTCTAACACCTTGCTATGCTCTCATGGACTTGATTGCCACATTCATTCTAAAATGTCGTTGCACAAAGCTCCACTCTAGCCACGAGGGCAAAGCCGTCTTCGCCCTGGACGCGAAAAACCACTTTCGATATGTTGGCTAGGTGTAGCGTAAGGTGTAATCGCATGCATCGGCCGACCTTTTTTCGCTCGTATGCATCCGTTTGAGTCAGCCATTGAGTGATGGATTTCCGTGCTTCCCTTCTAATTAATTCCTACAGAAATTAGTAGAACTTCCTCAGATTGGATGTGAAATCAGCCCCCTCATTTGCATTCGCTGGGACGTTGGCGTCAGAAAAAATAGCAACTGTTGACACTGCAGTGCACACAACCTACTGTGGGAAGGAAAACATGACGTGCATGTTTTTACTCAGGCAAACAGGTTGTGTTCATGGCAGTGACTCAGACATTTTGACTTTTCGTCGTTCTCGTTTGATTTTTACGACTATTATTAGTAGTACTACCACTATTGGGTAGAGACCTTGTTTAAATAGTAGTATAGGTGTGATTCTCAGGCGACATGCCAAAAGAAGAGACGTTCACTGGGAGAGGTTTATTTAAGGTTTGAAGTTACGGGTAGTCATTCTGTCCACCCATCTTCCCAGAGTATAAATCTAAGTTGGGACCACATACTAGCAATTAATGGCACACCGGCCACAACAGCAACCAACCGCTGCAATACAAGCGAAGCTGCGTACGCATGCTGTACTGGCCGGTGGAAACTCATTGCATCACGCTAGCCGCCAAATGGGATTAGATGAGGCTTCTTTGAGTACTGTCCAAAGCCAACAAACATCCGCGACCCTCAATCGTCGCCGCGACAAACGAGGGCGGAGCGACACAGGTTGCGGTGGAGAACGCGATCAGATGCAGCCCCACTGTCAGCATTGGCGGCCGCCGCATCAAAAGAATGTGCCATACAATGATATCTGTGCGCGAGACTTTGAGGCTACATAAAGGTTATCCCTATCCGAGGTGTCAGATCTTTAATAAGTCTCTCCTCCTTTTTAAGAGACTCTTCCACTGATGATGCAGAATATTTTAGTAATATTTTTTATTCATATAGCCGGTGTCGCTGACAACACGTTTTCGCAATACAAGATGGAAATACTTTAGTGGCATACAACGGTAATGAAAACTTTTGGCGAAGTAGACTAGGGAAAGCGAAACCGCCTTTCAGTGACGCGCTGTTTCCTACAAAGACATTTCGAGTTTCCCCCACCTCCAGAGTTCACACCGTGTGTTCTACGCTCTGAAAATCAAGAGGACTAACTGCTACTTAAGTCTGCTTCGCAACGCGAGCCAACTGTTCTTTTAAATTACTTCGTTTTGTTACAGGGGACTAGCAGTGGGGTCATAAAAAAGACTGGAATTAGAAAAACTTTGGGCAGGTTCCTCTACTGTGGCTGCGTCGGTATGCCCACCCTACTAATTAGCAATAATTTCTATGATCCAACTCTCCCGACAGGGCAGATCCCTGAGTTTTATCGATTTTTTTTCTTTTGCAAATCTACTTCACACATCGAATGCGGTGTAATGCGATCTACTACAAAAGGATGACGTTACGGTTGTTCCTACGTGTTTAAAATGGTTGCGCGATAACCCACGGGCTTTCGTATATGCGCTAACTCCCAATTTTGTGCTCTAACGAATGCCTCGCGTCCAAATCACTCATGGAATCGCTCCGACATCTGTCGTTTGGATTGAAATCTGCTTCCTGCTTATCTCCGGAAGTAACTTGTAGGAATTATCTCACGGACGTTGTCCATATTTTGGGTCAAAAGCGGACGGGGTGTTTTGAGAACTCGCTAAACGCCACGTTTGAGCCCGCACAATGTCTTTACGTTACCACAAACATCGGGCGCTTAGCGAAGTTTGAATCCCCCTGTCGATCCACATTCATTTCCACTTCACTGGACAAACTCGGGCAGCCTATTTGTGTTTTCGATCATCTCCAGCGTTGTTTTAGCGTCTTTTGGGAGCTGGGGGAGTGGTTTGACGAAATAAATGCTTTTAGGCTTAACCTTCTTGAAAGAAATCAAACATTTTGCAATCCTGAGAATTTAGTTCCAGGGCTATGGAATGCAGAAAGGCTTTTTCCGACAGGGCGATGACTTCTATGTATGCCAGTCCAGTTATTGATGTTCGTGGTAGGTGACTTGTTCAGTCGACTCGTTTCGACCACAGATTTTCGTCTGAATTATATTTTTTGTCAGTTCCCACCTCCCGCCCTTTCAGCTGACTATCGTTCCTTTTTTCTTGCTCTCATTTCCAGGCATTCCAGCAGTGCTTACGTTTCATCTACCACGACGATCTCCAACTGCCAGATGACATTGACGAACTCTACGACATCCTCTACGCCGCCAAGAAGTACCTTCTGCCTCAACTTGCCTCTGCTAGCGCTTCTCAACTCATCGTAAGTAAATGAGCATTGTGTGCCTTTATCTCCAAAGACAAAGGATGTCATTCCTCCAAATATAACATGATTTGGTTCTAGCGTTTTCCAATAGTGAACGGCCAAAAAAAAACATTTCGCATAGTCTTAATGTTACCGTGCATCGCCTGCTACAAAAGTGCTTTGCGTCTGAAAATAAAAATACTCGTTTTTTAAAATCGCTTTTAGGCGGTTTCGATTCTGATAGTAGATTTACCTTCCGGATTTCGAATACTGAATTGAAGCTTTCGATACAACGACAGGGCCTTCGACTCAGCGTTTTGAACGCATTAACCAAACTGCGATGGCGAAAGAGTAATGTTACTTGATAAAAAATATCATTATTCAGCGTGGTAGACAGCTCTACTCCTCTCCACTCAACCTTACAGAACGTCTATTCATACCGGTAGGAAGGTTTGCCTTGTTTTTTTAGTCATCTAACATTGCGTCTCCATGTCTTCATTTCATAGATCTTATATAGAAATGCTATCTAGTGGGACATTCCGAAACGACAGTTAGACACATGTGAGCTATTCGCATTCGTCTTGACAAGGCTGGCCCCTTGCTATGTAGAGGCTATTTGAAACTTAATTTCGAACTAAAGAGCTATGATCATGGGGGTTTACGGAAATATTTTTTTCAAAAATAACACCACTTTTCCTTAAATTTATCTCGCGAACCAACTGAATTTCGTAATCAAGTTTGAGGATCATCAGGCATTTTAAGCAGAACGGAGCACCTCTGTTTGGCCGTCAGATCTTAAATATGGCAAGTCTTGACACGCTTTTCGATGGTGGTCATCAATTATTCCACTTCAAACTCCATAAATTTATGTTTCGGGTGGAAATAGACTTGATTGTTACAGGTAACACTGATTGGCGGTTACCATCTTTGTGGGTGATTGCAGTTTAACGAACACCCGTCACACCTGAGAAGACGCCTTGATCAAAGTGTCCCAAGAACCTTCACGGAGGCAATGGTTCGAATATCATTCTCCACAAACCTTATATTAGGCGTAGAAGGTAAGGATAGGCTGCCACTTCAGACCACCCCAATGTGCATCTATTCATTCACTTGCTCCTGTGGAGCAGGTTATATTGGCCGTACGAGTCGACGTCTATACAAAAGAATACGATAACCGTCCCAGCACGGCTTACAAAAGGTGAAAAGAGGAGCATAAACAGTGCCATTTTTGAACATTTAGTTGATTCAGGGTATCGTGTGGACCTCGACGAAGCACTTCGTGTGATTACTAAGGTCCCATCGAGCTATCCTAATTTATGGTGTCAGCGCCTGTTAGCAACAGCAGAAGCGGCCGCAATCAGGTTACGAAAACCGGCCCAACGCGCCCGGAAGAACCTCGTTCAGGCTCCGCGTTTACCGTGGCCAAAGGCTGACTAATCGCATGCGACTTCCTTCGCCCTTTCGCCTTTGTCTAGCCCGTATTTTAAGAATTACTTTTATGTATTTTTTCAGTCACTGTATCCCTTTCCCCTATAACTGTACCGGCCTAAAGAGAAGTTATCAAAGCAACGTTCGCTCGCCACTTTCTCTTCTGATTATTTAAAAACTGTCAAAATACCTCAGTGTAAACAATCATCGCTCAGTGTCTCTGGTATGCCCCGCCTGTGTTTTAAAACTTATCTTTATCAATTTTTCAATCACTCTTATGTTTGAGGATACCCCGCTCCCATATAATGGTACTAGCCAGAGGAGAAGTTATCGAAACCAACGTATGCTTACCAACTCCTTTTCTAAAAATCCGATATCATTTGACGAATGTTTCCTCTATGTTCTGACATCTTGCCTTATCGGCAAGCACCTTTTCTCGTCAAGATTCAAATGGATTTAGACCTAGGAAACTGCTTAATCCCGGGAAGCATGGCCAAGCAGCTGCAAAAAGGTGGCGATTGTTTTTGACGTCTCATTTTTTCAGCCGGTTCGTCATCGAAAAGCGGCCAAGTAGCACAGATTTGAACATTGTCCAATCGAAGCTGCCCGTTTAAGTATATTAAATCTTGCAACACGAGTATACGGCCGGTTAGGCGTTGGCAGTTGACAGCTAATACGCGGCCATCCCACCTTGACCGACGGACTCCCATTTAACTATTTTTATCAAAGTTCGGACTGGTCTACTCCAGGTCAACGATTCAGTCCTGAGATTAAAAGGCTGATATTTCAAAACCTCTAATTTTGCTGATGGAAGCGAACAGGCGAGTTCTAGGTAACAGTTCAAAAGGAAAAGTTGCGATCACTGTATCAGTGACCCAGTGATCGCTTCTTCGTCTTCTGAACTTCTAATTTTCTGCTAAAACTTCCACCCACTCTTCAGTAGTTCTCCCGAAATTGTATTTCCACCAGTTCGGTCTACTTTCTTGCACGTTAAGCTCGTAATCGCGATTCGTTTTTACTTCTGTTAATCGGAAATGAATTCAAAATAGCAATTTGGTCCATCCTAAGAGATGCGGACGATTAGGTTATTTAAACCCGAAAACATCACTGACGAAATTTATCGTAAAAAATGTGATACGCATTTATGGGGTAGTTTAATTTTGAATCGATGATAGCATTATCCACTGGCGTTTTCTCGGTTCTGACAAATGACTTTTAGGCGACATGACCGGCTTTTCATCATAGCAACATAACCAACTCCTCAGCTACTTGTCAGAGTAAACCGACTCTTAGGCGTCAATGTATGCCAATCGGCCAAAGTCCGGAGGATCTTCTGAACCTGATCACTCTCAAACATTAAACTGGAAGTTCATAAGCATTAGGTAAAGCCTAAGGGGAACCCTGGAGCTTTTTAGACAGAGGGGAATAACTAATTGCCGACGTTTTGAGAGGTCCTATTTTCTCCTCATTTTTCAGACTAAGCAGTCGTTTTTAGCTGGGCTGGAAGGAATTAATGGTGTTATGCAGAACAAATGACGGGACGAAAAATAAGTTAAGTGTATGTAAGTCAAGTGCGGTAGGCAATTCTAGCTTGTTCGGGGTGAACATGGGATCGTCGATTTCCACTGTCAGTGTTCTCCACAGTTCCGGGGGGGGGGTTGTATGGCAGGCTTTCTTCTTTGACGACAAATGCCTATGCTGTGTGCACAGAATGGGTTATCATTGGAGCCCCAACCCTCGCAACTGTGTCATGAAGCGACAGCAAATCGGCGAAACGTTGCTGGACTTTTAGCTAGTGCATGTGATCTCATTATGCTAAACTATGAGGCGTGTGCATGCGTGCACATACATTCTGGACCCAGCGTGATTGGGATGTTAACTAACTAGGTCTTCATAAACCCTGACGTATACTTATAATGACTACTCACTTAAAATCTTTCCTTGCATGCCCTTCTTTTGCTTACCAGAATCATATGACCCCGCAAAACGTTCTCTTCCAACTGAACAAGAGTTCTGCCATTGATGAAGAAGAACTTACTCGAATTTGCTGGCGTACAATTGATCTGATGGTGGGTGCCCTCCCGCATTATCCATCCTCTTTCTTTACGGATAGTTTGATATTTCCGTACATTCCTAGTTATTATGTCTGCCATCCCAAGTCACTGGCAATTTGAAATTTATGCATGTCATGTCACATCGCCCAATGTCATTGTAGCATTCTGCTTTTCTACTGGGAAGTTTTTCCTGTGTATATTTGCTTCTTCCACGAAAAAAATCAAATTGATTTTACCATTACCACCAGGATCAATATATTCACCGTTTTGACTAACGGGGAAATAATAAATTAGCCTATATCCGATAGGCTCAGTAAAAGGCGAATCGTGTAATTTTTCGATGAGGTAGTGACGATACGTTGTACATAATGTCAAATTATGTAATGAGGTCATAAGTTGAGTCATTTTTATGTAGCGTTTGGGACAGCGAAGACATTTCAGGGGTACGGTGCATTTTGCAGGTAAAGGCCTGTTTGCAGCATGGAAATGGGGACTTCAGCCTCGTCGATTGCTGTCGAACAGACAGGATAGAACGGCACAACTCATTTCCTTGTGTGGAGCACAGGCACGCGTAGCATAGGGTTCAGAACTCAGCCTAAATGACATGTTCACCTAAACAACAGATTGTATCGCACTAACTAGTGAATTCAGTACATCAGTCTACGTACAATAGTAATTGATGTTATTCTATGCCTAAAGTCTTATGTTATTTCGCAAAAGGTGAAGTAGAAATCAATCAAAACGCCATGAGCAGTACTAAAATGGTGATTGTGAGATTGAAAACGAATCCGTAACTTGCTGTTCGTAAACGTAATCGGATATTTACTCGTTTAACTTGGCCGAGTTGGTACTATGGGTTTGTTTTTTATTAAAATTTTGGCTCTTCTGGTGCGCGCTAAAAGGTGATGATAAAATTGTCTTACGCATTAATAGACCACCACTAGGTAGCCAACAAATCCCAGCCCCGTGTCTTCCATATCTTCGATTTCATCAGGCCTGGGGCACCTACGTCATATAAAATTATGCCTGTCGTCATCGCTCCTTTTCAGTCCTGTGTATGAATGAACTATTAAATTTGCACGTTGTTTGACCTACTTAATTCGTGTAAGTAGAACTTTATAGAATTTCTCAGAATGCATGGCAGTGGCGCACTTGCGTAAAATGCCTTCGGCTTTTTGTCATTTCATCGTTCTTTTCCCAATGCACACTAATTCACTACAGACTTCGGAGGTTCTGGCCTCAGAACCATTCGTCGACTTGTCCAAGGAGACGGTACTGGAGCTCATTAGCCGTGACACACTCTGTTGTGAGGAATGGGAGATATTTGAGGCCGTGCATCGCTGGGCCAGCGCCGAGTGTGATCGTCGTGGGCTGCGACCCACGTCGGCCATAGTGACCGATCTCATGGCCGACTTTCTTCCCTTCATCCGCTTCACAACAATGTCTCTGGGAGATTTTGTCCTGCATGTTGCCAAGTCTGGAGTCCTCAGTCTGGAATTAGTACGTTCCGCTCCTCTACATCTGTTTGTGTGTGTGTGTGTGTGTGTGTGTGTGTTTGGGATTTTATTTGACTCTTGCCAAGTTTCACACCCCAAACCCCTCATCCTCCGACTCAGTAGCGTACCCCGAACTTTTGGCAAATTTTGAAAAACAAACTTTCAGCTTAATGGGCGAACGACATTTTAGACTCCGTAAGTCCTGCGAACGCAATTACTGAATATTTCAGAATCCCGTCTAACAAGCTAGAGCAGGTTGTCCAGTTGAAATCTCAGATACATGTTTCGCTGTTGTTTCTACTACCGCATGACGCAGCTTGGAGAAGTTCACCTCCTCAGGGTGTCCCGCAGCGTTTTCTATGCGGTTCATTAATATATAAACTCCAGAGAATAATCGAGAAATTAATGTCAGAAATCATTTAGCCCAGCACATGGATTTGAGTTAAACATGACGGTTAAGGGTCATACCCAAACATGTAATGAACATTCGAGTAGAAGACAGCCAACTACTACGGAATAACCACGTAATACCCCTTCTACAAACAAGTAGTACTACGAGTGGTATGAAATGTGTATGTCAAACGTATTATACCGTACTCCCGACATAGATACCAGTTAAAAGCCCAGACGAGTATTGCGCCGAGATTCTGCCCCTACCTGATACAACTGTGAGGGTTTCGGCGCGTCAGTGGGCTCTCCAGCTTTCTCTATGTGGTTTCTGGCATATGAATTCCAGAGAATAATCAAGCGAGTAATTTCAGAAATTATTCTGCGCAGGAAATGCAGTTAAGTCTCTGGGGCATGACTTTTTAGGGTCAAACGCGGAATTATAATGAACATTTGGATCAAAGACAATCGTCTGTGGAATGCCCATTCTACGAACGTAGTAGTACTAAAAGTAGTATGAATTTTATATGACAGAATGTTGTACCGCACTTCCTCCACAAATTCTAGCTAAAAATCCACACACTTTCTCCCCGATATTTTTGACGCTGCACAAGAAGCCGAATCCCTCACAGCTGTGTCATTTGTCATGTGCATTATTTAAATCATTTCTTTATTACGGGTATTTCATGTAGCCACAACAGGAAGCTCCGAAAATTAAAGCCACCTATTTGCTGATTCTTGTTGCTCATAGTTGGCTGATTTTTGCAGAAGGTAGCTTTGGCTGGACCCGTTAATGCATACCATCTGCCAATCTCGACAAAAAACCTCAAGAGCTCTACTCATTAACTTTTCTTGAACATCTTTAACCCCTGATTATCGACAGGTTCTTAATTTTTTCCTAGCAAAGGGATATCTCGGTATTCATTGCCACAAAGATGTTCTCGCAGGAGGAATTATCCAGGAAGGACAGTGATTCGTATGGCAACCACCCTACTGTGTCCGTTGGCGATGGCGATGCCGATAAACCTGTCTCCTCTACCAATCATCTTCCAACCAATCTGGCGATATCCGCGGCCCCACGTTCTGGACCGCCTCTTGTACGCTGTTTGCGCTCATCTCATGCTATGGTTCCAATGTCAAAGGAGGGCTACTGGCAGGAGCCTGAGGCAGTTGCCTTTGAGGTACAGTTTATCTATCATTAAAAAAGCCGTGTGTATATTTGAACAAAATCGTACGGCTCTTCAGGGCATCCTTACCTACATATAAACCGCACTGCGTCCGGAATAGAAATCGGGTGGTGTGTAGCACGAGGAGACAGTGCGCTTAGCATTGCCAGCTATTTTATCGTTTCAGACGGGGGTCGTCTTCACATTGACTTGCCATCGGAGCAGGCAGAGAAATTGCGGTAGATGCTGAGCAAATTATCACGGTTTGAACTACTTCGTGTGGCAGCAGTGGCCATCTTCATTTGCGGCAGTCTGGATTTCATTTTCACGAATGTTTGTTCAGGTAGGCACATGATGCCTAAATAGGGGGTACACCAGGTAAATCTTATTTCGTCCCACCTGTCATGATGGAAGGTGGCCAGGTTCAACCTCTGTCTGGCATCCAGCTCCCATTAATGGCACCGATAAGCTTTACATCGTGCGGCCGGCACAAGTCTGCATTCGCTCCCAGCCAGGAGTTAGAAAAAATAGAATGCGCAGGAGTGACTGTGTCCTGTAATGTGATCGGTGTGTATCCCTCTTCCATTATTAGCCTATCCGATGGCAACCGATAGGACAGCGAACTCGCGACTTAGGCGTTCGGGCCTTGGACTTCTAAACAACAGTTAGCCAGATCGAACTCTGGGGCTGGATATGGCTGACTGGTAAGGGCCAATAAGCCAGAAATGGCCATCTCACCACCCCTCCTCATTGTCAGTAATGCTTTTCTGCCTAAACCGCTAGCCACTGCGCGGCTGCTGACAGGACTCGAGATATAGTCTTAAGACACGAAGCGGAACGAGTGTATCTTGTAGCACAATCGGTGAGAGTCCCTCTACTGTTGTTGAAAGGGCCTTATGGATTGTGTGTGTCTGTCATGCTGTGATTGTGAAAATCATGGTCCTCGCTGCCTGGTGGGCGCTGGCAGCTCTCTGGCACCTGGTTCCCTGCTGGAGATGCCTTTGCGCTCCCGCTGGCCATACGGGTCGTGTGCACGGTTGCCCAATGACTCACGTCACCCTGCTCTTTCAGGCCCATTTTTGTTGATGAATAGAATCCTGGCCAAGTTTTCGTTGTGAGCCAGGGGGAATGGTGGCACCCCTGTGTGCGGGTACAGCCGTGCAAGCCACTTGTGCCCTCTCCCGCCTTCGGTCTTTTTGACTATGCGTTGACACCGAGCACAGGCGGGGAAGGAGATGGTGCGATGGATGCTGTACAAGTCCACTCTCACTATACACTAATTTACGCGCGAATCAACGTGCATGCTTTTATCTTGCAACGAAGCACACGGTGGACATCGTCGGCAACGACGGTCGAACTGGCGAGACCGGGCCCAGCGCCTAGCGCGCTAGTAAGGTGAACGGCTCGGCGTAAATAGGCTCAGCACAGTTCTTTGAAGGAGTGAACTGAGTCCAACTGATACCCCCCTTTTTTTGGCCCAGTTCGCACCTTCAGTGCAGACTGTTGTGGAACAATTAAGGTCACACAACCTCTATCTTTATAGGTAAACAGTTTAATTTCAGATGATCGCAGAACAGCTGTCTGAGCACAGACAACTTTCGTTGGCTTATAATTCCAGGAAAGGAAAAAAACTAGATACGAGCAAAGGCGTGAGCATATGTTTTGGCAGTTGCCCCCACCAGCTGTTGAAGGTGATAGCAAATTAAGAGCTTTCTTCATCGACAAAATCATTTTGGAACTGCACAACAAAGAAGGCAATAATGCGTGATTGGCAGACGGAAATCGGCACACGGTAATCTAGGCGACAGAAACAGAGGTAGGCTGATTATGGTCCAGTGCGTGGGAAGATTGAGCACATGTGAGGTATCCTCTGCGTCAAATATGTCCCCGGTAGTAGTAGGGGATATGGTTGGGACCTCGCATAATGTAAAGCTCAACAGGCCTCTGTAGAATTTACAAAAATAAGTCTTTCTGACCCCTTTAGTTTGTTGCTAGCTAAGATCGTGACGAAGTGTTTATTGTGGAGCAGGGGGTGTGGCGGCTCGCCTAGGTGTGGGTAAGACAGTGCCAGCCATTTGCGTTCTATCCATCTCTGGTCTTCTTGACCATCTCTTCACAGCGAGCCATTGCGGGGGAGGTGAGAGTGCGGTGGATGGCCTGCATGTCTGCTCTCACTACAAACTAGTTTACGCTCACGTCACCGTGCCCGCTTCACCTCGATGCAGAGCACACGGACTCGACGGTCGGACTGACTGACACCCGTGCTAAACTGAGGGGATTAGCAGGTGGGACGTCCTCTGTCTGGTGTATCTCGGAGTGTGAAGACGGATTCGACGATCCAGCCGCGTAGAATAATGCTCTGGGCCTTGCTAATCATAGCTGCCTGACTCCTGTCTATCCCTCTCTCGACTTTTAGAAGTCTTTTGGAGAGGAAGGACTTTGTATTCCTATAAATGGATTATTTTACTCACAAACCAATGTCGAGTCTCTGTTGTAGCAGCCTGACCTTCTCTGAACCATATGACTGGTCGATTAAGCAGACTACGCAAGCAAGAGATTTTTATCGGTAATTAGTAACTGCAAATTTAACCATGAATTCATTAAGAAAAGTAGCAGAGATTTACTGGCTGGGTGATATGCAAGTGATATGCAAGATTCACCGACCAAAGCCGCAGTTTTTTATGCCAGACAAAAACTCCTAAATAACAGGCGTTCATATTCCGGAAATGCGCTGGAATGAGTATCTCTGCTGAACTATATTCTAAAGTGTCTATTGATTTAAGTAGCTTGATATGCATTGGCATAGCCATTTGCATCCAGTTGCCCCAGTTGATTCCCTTTAGTTTTTTCCACGTTTTACATAACGTCTCCGGTGGGCTTCATAGTCCACAGTCGTTTTCATACTAGTCACCGACGATGTCGTCGGAAAAGGTACACTCTTCGTCCTTTGTGCTGTCGGATTATAATCTAATTAGTGGCCGCACGGCGTAGACCGTCAGCTCTGTTGTCCACAGCGTCGAACAAAGCGTACGTTGCCCGTGCGGAAGTATTTTCGTTCACTGGCTTTACTCCGTCCCCTGGATCCATTCCTAATTCAGAGAACGACGCTTAGATGGCTAAGGTGAGCCCACGCGCATGCGTACTTGCTAGGTCAGACATCGCATGATAAGTGCCAGCCAGTCTCTTAGTCCATCGTCAATTTTCCGCCAGACACCCACCGAATGGCGGCAAAGCGTCCGCCTCCTCTTTATGCATTCGCCCGCCGCCGTCGCACAAAATCGCTTTTCTTTTGTTGCCTACCGGTGCTCCGGTCAGCAAGTTCGTGCCACAATCTGTGCGGCCCGCACTATAAGTATACGTCATATCTTACCGTATCCGCTGATTTTTGTGCCTTCAGTCGGATTTTTGTCAATGACCCATGTGGTCGCGCAAAAGTATTCGCACAGACAGCCCGATCTGTGGCACCTTGTACCGACCCCTACCAAGTAGGTAGACGCTATATAAGTATATAGTTCTTGGGCATAGGCAGAAGTTGATTACCGACAAACACAAAGGAGACCGAAATGGCCAATACTGGTTTGTTGGCTGTGGTCAGCCAGTCATACCCCACCCCGAAGTGTCGAGCACCTGGGGCTAGATCCCGCGACCTGTTGGTTAGAAGTCCAACGCCTCTAACCACCGAGCCACGGGCTCGTTATCCTGTCGGCTTCGGTCCGTAATGTGCAATGGTAGAGCAGCGCTTACCGATCGTTCTTACGGAACTCACTCGTCCCGTTGTGCCATACGGGCTCTCTCTCTCGAGCCCGATCAGCAGCCGCACAGCGCTGCATGATATAGGCATGATTTTATTACCGGGTATTTATTCCCGCGATCAGTCGGTATTCCCGATCGCAACCGACAGAACGACTGACACGTGACGAAACGGTGCAGCGTTGCACTACCTAGCGCTCAATAACCAAAGAACTTGGGCTCAAATCCCCGGCCATCCGAGCTTGAGATATGGTATGTTTGAATGGTGCGACTAAAAGGCCATCGCTATTTCTCCCTACATGTTCTAACACTTTCTGCACGTTTGCTTGCCACCGCGAAAACAGCACAACCGAGTCGATCAATGCCACGCCGCATTACGAAGCACGAGCACTTGCGTTGGCAATCAGTAGAATGCATCCGCAGGTCATTAACTACAGTGGCCGGCATTTGAACACTGGCAGAGATATAAACTCATTCGAGGTCGTCGTAGATGAACATGCTCGCGCAGGTTAACTAAGCTAACAGGTGTGCGCTAACTTTGATATTAAAGTGCCGTGTTCGTTTGTCCTGTGTCTCAAATTGTGCACAGAACAAGTCCCTCCTACTAGTATCTTACTTGTTTCGTCGCAGATTCTGGACCTGAGTACGGCTGTCTCAAATTAGGTCTAAAGTACACCTTTCATATACTCAGGTCAAAATTAATCTGCCGTCTTCATCCGCGTTTCGCATTGTGACTGTCGAATTTTAGAATAAACACCAATTGCAGATTTTATCAGCCAACAGTCTGCTTGTAATAATATCCTTATTCCAGACCACGCGCTGGTAACCACCTACAATGGGAAATCGGGCACAATCAACTTGCTAAATGTCCTTATAGACGACCTAGAACCTGACCGAATGCGTGTTATATTCACATGCTACTCAATAATATTCAGTAAAAATGATATCTTGTACGATAGTTTGCGGTGCGGTTATAAACCAACCGATGTCAACAAGTTCTACTGCTGCCCTAAGACTTCATGCATCTTCCTCTTGCCAAAGGTTTCCTCAACTGTCTTCCTGGCCGGCATTGGTGTCTCAGAGCCGGTTGGAAGAGGCAGCAGTCTCAAACTGAAGATCGAGGTACGGCGTTGCAGTATTCGCCAGACTGTTCACGTCGACACTGGCGCACGCTTCCACACGGTAGGCGTCTCCACCTCCATCCACCGTCACACGCATCAGCTACACAGTGTAAGCACCCAGTCTGCGTACCTTCCGCGTCCCGGAGACGACACGCGACGTCGTATACTGCGTTCTGGCGGAGGCGGTGGCAGCAACAACTACCGACCAGCTCTGCCCTCCAGTCTCGACCAACCGAACTCGCGGGCATCCGGAGGCAGATCAGGCCTCAAGCTGTTGGTTAATCGTACGCATGTTTTAGGCAGTACTGAGACAGTTATTCGCGGCAGCGGTTCACGGCCCGTGGCTCAGATTCGTTTCCCGAAGCCCATCATGGTGAGTAGGCAGGATATTGTGATGTCTCCTTAATTCTGATTAAGTACCTAGCAAAATGTAACCCACCAGAGGGGCGGAACTATTTGGACAGAACTGCCTGCCTATCTTCGCCTGTGGCCACACCCTGGCAGACATTAGTATTTTAGGCTACATAGTCTGTCTCCTCTTTATTTCCCAAACACTTAAGCAGTCACTTAAAATGTAATCAATGCTAACTGATCGATTTCTTTTAGCATTTTAAAGGCTTCGGTTATCGAAAATGGCAAAGGAATTGATGCTTAACCCACGTCTAGCTATAACACCAGTCGCGTCGTGTGGACACTCTTGAAATTTTCCTCTTAACCAGTCATCCAAGCTTAGTTTCCCTCAAGCAGCCCGGGTACACCGCTGCCTAACGGGTTGTGAGTCAGAGCCAGGTAAAATACCGCCAAGTGTGGATTGGAGGGCTAGTGGCAGTGGAAGTGCACACCGGCCAAAAGCCGCTATGAGCAGCAAGGTCATGCAGATCGAAGATCGGTTAAAGACGAAGGACCAATCTGAGTTAGTGTATCGAACCCCGTGCCTAAATTGTCCTTGTAATTAAACAGGTCACACTGGACGCATGCTAGGATCGCGCATGCACAAGCATAAGCTGGTTGTGCGACGAATCATCACAAGCGGATGCCTACAGCTACGAAACGTGTTATGAGTTTGACTTCTTAGCCACAGAGATAATCGCTCATGCCGGAACCAAAACGGACGGAGAATCGGTTGAAACCTGGACCCCGGATGAGAACATGGCCAATCGACTGATCTGGCGCCTCCAGCCTTGATTCACCGGTCGGTGATTGGCTGGCGTCCCTACAATTGTCGGTACCATTTCTGACGATGGACTCCTGCACGATTTCGAAAGCGCACAATAATAAACAGGCTATTCCGGTGCTTAGGCAGTCTTCTCCATTTACTGGCAATTATCTCTTTCGAGCTAGACTCTATACCCTCACGTCTTCTGCCCTTTAGCTAAAAGGAGGCAAGACCTACGTCGTGATTGTGAGGCCGGAGGAAGGAAGACATACAAGGTGTTACGTGCACATGAATGTCGCCCGCACAGAAGTTCGAGTCAAGACAAGGCGTTCGAAGCAGGGCGAGAAGCCGCCCGCCGCCTCCTGGTTCCCCCTCGCTGTGCCCAAGCACGTTGTCTTCCACTTCTACTACTGTGACAAGAGCCAGACCAACTGCTCTACCGAAGGCAACCACATTCCAGAGCTATTATTCTGCCCGCCCACATGATACTCCGCCTCTACCATGTTTTGTCTCCTGTTTTCGGCCATTCACAAAACCCTCATGTCTTTCACCGTCTATTTTTTATAATTTGCCCCCAATACCGCCGCGTGGACTTCTGTGAATCGTATCAATTTTATGCATAAAATGATTATTTGCCTAATGTCCTGCTCTTGGAAGCCGGTTCCCAGGATCCATGGGGTTGAACGGAATCCAGAAGCCGATTCTTCGACAGGACCACATTTGCACACCACTGATGAAAATTATCCCACACAAGTATGCGTAACTTACCCCCCCCCCCCCCCCCCACCCACCTCATATTATAGTATTTCGTCCATTGCAAGGGCTGACGACGACTGGGAGGTAGTAATCCGCTAATGTACTAGCGCGGACTCTGCGCTGCTGAATTAACGCACACCGTGAGCCGAGTCCGGCTCTTGATCTGATCCCGCACATCTACAGCGTGACTTGTTGTGTGGCCTTGGGTCCCACTGCATGCACCCGTGAGGTCACTCCAAGACTCACGGGCAGCCGACATGTAGCCCCGGAGACCACAAGACTAACATGTTCATCCAACAGTTGCGTGCGTATCGCAAGGAGCCGTCTCCAACATGATCGGTAGCGACTCCAGAGGCAGATTTAAATTTACCTTCTTGTTCGACGATTTCAATTCTAGTTTTGCCGTGACCTGGCTGCGGGGCTCCTGCCGCGCACTGGAATGCGGGAGCTATATGGGCATAAGGCAATGGCGTCCGAGGCCATAACTGAACGTAATTCACTCTGCAGGGCCTGTGTGGTGTAACACGACTGAACTCTCACTTGACCCAGTCACGTCGATTTCGACCGATCACGCCCAGCCTGTGCGCGCGCCATCTTCACTCAACAACTTCACGTAGCAGTTTCGATTAGAAGGAGCTTAATCGAAGCGGATTTTGGGTTTCGATTGGGATGATGGCCATACGAAGGGAGAGAGAAATCAACGTCCTTCAGCTCTAGCCCGCAGAAGGTAGCTGGCAGGGAAAAAAGAACGGACGGACTACACAAGTCGAAGTTAGTAGTATTCAGGAGAAGTTGCGCCATGCCAAGGAGAGGGAACGCGGAAATGGAGACCGCAACCCCGATACAGCTCTGACCAAAAGCATAGTAGTAAAAACTGTTGGAGTAGGCGAAACCCGGAAAAAACGGCAACAGCAGCAGCTGTTGCCGCAAGTAAGTACAGAAAGAACGGTCGAGTCGCCTTCTGAATTCAAAAATCGGAATGAAAAAGGAAGGGAGGGGGGGGGGGAGCGCGTAGGAGGCAAGGAAATGTAAAACCTACAACATGCTCCTTTCCTTTTCTGCCAACCATCTGCCGTTTGAAACAGTCAGACGGGGGGGAGTTAGTGTGCGGATCAAGGACGGATATGGGGGAATAGATCGCCGGAGCTGGTCAGGGTAACTGTTGTAGCGGAGCACAAACTGTGAACCACACCCAACTCGCATGTCTTAAGGTCTTAGACGGCAAAGCCAGAAACATTGGGCTGAGGCAGTGTAGACCGAGTGATATAGATTTGGGGGCGGGAAGGGGGGAGAGCAAGGCAGACCAAAAATATGTATATGTCGGATAAGAAGAGAGTAACGGTAGAAGGCCACGAGATTAGCAGCATGTGTTGACGCGCGCGCGCACGTACAGCCTACCACTCCGCCTCGCCGGTTGCCTTCTGGAAGATATGGTCACGACCGTGGATGGCCATAATTCCATCCTTGAGGCAGAACTTCCACTTGTTTCGAGAGCGGTGTATCTGAAAGGTAACGCGTGACCGATCATAAGCCGGGCTTGCATTGCAAAAATTACCACTTCAATGAACACTTCATGCAACTTAAAAAGCTTAAGCATGCCACTCAACGGCATTCCGTCGGCGAGGCGCCACGATATTGAGAGGGAGGCAATATGAAGCCGTTAGCAACGAAGCAGACTTGCAAAACACTTAATTTACTCCCTCGTGACAGGATTAACAGCATTCTAATGGCGGGAGAACATTAAGACTTTATTTGGGCGCGGCTGACAGGACTGAATCCATGTCTACGCCTTCAGTGGCGGAGTTAAGACGTCCTATACGCAGTTATGCCAAAAAGGCCAACTCAAAAAGTCATCACTGCTGTTTGGCCATCAGTGGGAGGGGGTTACTCTGTTAATCGACAACCCTCCAAGACGTGATACGAGATTCTTCGCTCGTCCTGCGACGAAGTTCCAGATGCTCAACCGGACCAGCCGATGGCAACCATCCCTGCCCATGGCAGCGATCAAGGTGGCTTTTGAGGAACTGTGATAGATTGCACATTGAAAAGACGGAACAGTGTGCGTGAGTCCTGGGCTGACCAGCTGCTACATCGTCCACGCCATCCATAGTCAGGAACGCCTGCACACACAACGGTCAGACGGCCTGGAATGCCTTGTCCACTGTTGGAAGGAGTTCCGTTGCCGTGGAAAGAAAAAACACTAGAGGTTTGCGTGTGCCCTAAAGGTTTAGCTGTTGCAGTTGTTTTGAAGGTGTCAGTCCGCGGAGGGCAGAGACCAGAACGTGGGTTCAAAACCGAAACAGGTGAATGAGATATCTCCGACAGCAGCAGTATCTTGTGGAGTAGGGAGGGGGCGGGGTCTTCGCGTTGACAGTGCGGTGGAAGCGCTGTTCATAAACCGATATTGTCGGGGTAGGAAATAACGGGAAGCCATGTTGGGAGGGGATCGGTCTTGAGGACGTTGGCTCGAGGTGTGATAGATTTCTGCGCTGGCCACTTTGCACTGCTTTCCCGTATTTCGTTGGTCTAGAGAACAGCTGCTCCTATTCTCGTCTGTCAGCGACATGCCTCTCTTGTACGCCAACTTTTCCCAGGACACGCTACTGATTTAGACGCATTAAAGTAAGGTCTTAAAGGTGTGATTACACTGCCGATTTCGTTCATTTTGCTAGCAGGCACCCTTAGACACTAACCCACACAACGTACCGCTCCGTCAAAATCCAATTTGTTCTGGCATGGCACAGATGTCATGCATATCAGTGGGCTCCCGGGAGCTTGCTGCGCGGGATCACATGCTGTCACTTCCTATCAACGTCTCCGCACCTCAAGCGTCTTCAGGATGACCCCCCGCCGAATTCCATGGTAACTAAGACAGAATATTGTAACCTGTCAACAGTCTCACTGGTTTTAGAGACCGAAGCAACAATTTCAACGTGGATTTTTGCGGTCCATAAAAAGGTACCACTCAAGAAAGAGAATTGGCCTACTATCGAGAGGAGATTACCACTGACAGCTGTCACAAGCTGCCTGAACTTAGCAGCTAACGCCCGCTGAGGCATGGTATGCATTTTCCACCTGTGATAGGAAGTCGGAAGATTCCACAACGGCATTTTGTTCTGCCTGTGGTGTAGTACACAGACTGGAGGTGTAGACATCGCTTTGTTTGAGCCGTCACCACACAAAAAGTTGCCCTTTAGAAGGTTGCCGACTGGCACGATAAATACATGTGTGGGGCTCAAACACAGGTGACTTTACTTGAACTCGCAGACGTGATATCCGAGTGACGCGGCTGAGTAACTCACGAGACATTGCGTTAAGTCCACTTCTCCGGGACATAATGGATTAACCGAAGAGTGCATTTGATGCCACAAACACTTATCACACATGTCACCACTGCTCCCCCGCAGTATCAAGGGAAAGGGATGGACGAAGTAAGTAGTAGTAGTAGTTATTAGTAATAGTAGTAGTATTAGTAGTAGTAGTAGTAGCAGTAGCAGCGGTAGTAGCACTAACGGTAATAATGGTATTAGTACGAGCGGTAGTATTAATAGCAGTAGTAGTAGTAGTAGTAGTAGTAGTGACGGTATTATTATTATTATTATTATATTATTATTATTAGTAGTAGTAGTAGCAGTAGCAGCAGTAGTAGGTAGTAGTAGTAGCAGTAGCAGCAGTAGTAGGTAGTAGTAGTGGTAGTAGTAGTAGTGGTAGTAGTAGTAGTAGTAGTAGTAGTAGTAGTAGTGGTAGTAGTATTAGTAGTAGTAGTAGT